TCTCATTTTCACCACCCAAGCAGGTCATGATTCTCTCTTGATCTCCCGACCCGTCTTATAAAGTTTCTGTCAAAGGATGGAAGGAGGTATTTTCTTCCATGCTAGGAATGTTCTATAAAAGACAACAGACTCACCAATCTGCACACACCAGCGATCACCTCCATGCTGAGTCAAACCCACGGAGATCACCCAGTATTTTAACTGGATTAGTTCATCCTCTATCAGGAAGGCAGTGATTGAATAATAAGATGTAACTATTGAGCTAATTCAAGTGAATGAGGATTTGAATAACGCCATCCTTGGGTATGAGAGGTGAGCAGATGGTATACCTTCTCCATCCGTCCTCCAATTCCAGTTTCACCACCAGTTACTCAGCATTCTCATTAGAGTGCCAGCCAAGGAACACTTCCTATATCCTGTGTCTCAATGGGAGACATATTAGCATTTTGTTTGTTTTGGTTTGTTTTTTTTTTGAGACAGAGTCTCACTTTGTTGCCCGGGCTAGAGTGAGTGCTGTGGCCTCAGCCTAGCTCACAGCAGTCTCAAACTCCTGGGCTCAAGCGATCCTACCGCCTCAGCCTCCCGAGTAGCTGGGACTACAGGCATGCGCCACCACGCCTGGCTAATTTTTTCTGTATAAGTTGGCCAATTACTTTCTTTTAATTTGTAGTAGAGACGGGGTCTCGCTCTTGCTCAGGCTGGTTTCAAACACCTGACCTTGAGCTATCCGCCTGCCTGCGGCCTCCCAGTGTGCTAGGATTACAGGCGTGAGCCACCACACCCCGCCCTTATTAGCATTTTGGATGGGATGATTTTCCCTTTAGTGTGTGGCCCCTGCTCAGTAAATGCCAGGAAGATGTTTCTCCCAGTTAAAGTGATTTTCTTTTCTTTTCTTTTCTTTTCTTTTCTTTTTTTCTTCTTTCTCTTCTCTTCTCTTTTCTCTCTTCTCCTTTTCTTTTCTTTTTTTTTTTTGACAGGGTCTTGCTCTGTCATCCAGGATAGAATGCAGTGGAATGATCATAGCTTATTGTAACCTCCGTTCCTGGGTTCAAGTGATCCTCGTGCCTGGGTAATTTTTTCTATTTTTGTAGAGACAAAGTCTCGCTTTGTTGCCCAGGCTGGTCTCAAACTCCTGGCCTCAAGGGATCCTCCAGCCTGAGCCTCCCAAAGTGCGGGATTAAGGCATGAGTCACTGTGCCTGGCCTTAAAGTAACATTTCTTGGCACCCTTAGAGGCACCAATTATGTTGAGAATTACTGGGAATGTTTAATTGCACAGTGGCTATATTTCTAGCCAGTTGATGAAGAATGAGGCCAATCTGACATAAAGGAAAGAGGTGAAGAGGCCTGGAGGCAAATCTAGCTGATGATTTTGGATATGTTGCATAACTTTTCTAAGACTTAAGATTTTTTTAATCCATTAAAGAAGATAATATCTATTTGGAAGGGCTGGCATTTTTTATTTTTTTGAGAATTAATGAGATATCTAAAAGCACCTAGTGCAATGCTAGTATTAATACACTAATAGGGCAGGCGCAGTGGCTCACACCTATAATCCTAGCACTCTGGGAGGCCGAGACAGGCGGATCGTTTGAGTTCAGGAGTTTGAGACCAGCCTGAGCAAGAGCGAGACCCTGTCTCTACTAAAAAAAAATAGAAATAAATTAGCTGAACAACTAAAAATATATAGAAAAAATTAGCTGAGCATGGTAGTGCATGCCTGTAGTCCCAAGTACGCGGAGGCTGAGCAGAGATTGCTTGGCCCAGGAGTTTGAGGTTGTTGTAAGCTAAGCTAACGCCACAGCACTCTAGCCCAGGCAACAGAGTGAGACTCTGTCTCAAAAAAAAAAAAAAAAAAAAATACACTGATAGCCATTAAATATTGTATCTCCTCCCTATTAGCGTCCCATTGAGCCTTTTAGTTTATTGACTAGATTTGTTTTCTTACTGATGATGAGTGAACCAAGAGAGTGGGTGAAATGACACCAGTAGCTATGAAATGGTAGTTTCTTTCTTTCACTATCTCATATTTATTGCCTATTATTGACAGGGACAGGGCATTGACTGATGATGTGAGCCTAGTAACCATGTTTTCTTTCTTAGCACTGAACAAATTCACAATCGTTGCCCTTTGTTTTCTGTGGAACAAATCTTTGTAAACAGAAACATACCCCAGGAAAATCACATGGTTTTCAGTATAGTGCTGCCTTCTGGTTTTCATTTTGGAGAATTCCATTGCAAACCATAAGACCAGTGCATAAAGGCTTCCTCTGAGGGAGAATGTGTGTTTATTTGGCCTAGATATCAGGAGATTGGATTACTGCTGTGCACAGCTCATTCTGATTGGGCTTTGAACCCTGCCAGAGCGACTGCAGTAAATTGTGTGATTGAAACACTCAAGTCCTAAAATTCAGAAATTCTTGCCTCTAGAAAAAGTACTAGTCTGATGTTTTAGTTTTTTGTGGCTGCTGTAACAAATTACCACAAACTTAGTGGCTTAAAACAACACAACTTTATTATCACAAGATGATGAAGTGATTTCTTTAGGTCAGGAGTCTGAATAGAGGAGAATCCATCTCCTTACCTTTTGCAGCTCCTAGAGTCTGTCCATGTTCCTAGCTCATGTCCGCTTTCCTCCATCTTCAAAGCCAACAGGGTCTAGTTCAGTCCTTCTTACATTGTATCTCTCTTACTTCCGCTGTTGCCTCTTTTGTGCACATTTAAGGACCTTTACGACTACACTGGGCTCATCTGTACAATCCAGGGTAATCTCCCCATTAAGGTCAGCTCACTAGCTAACTTCATTCCATTTGCAACCTTAAATTTCCCTTTGCCATGTAACCTACCATATTCACCAATTCTGTTGACTACAATGTGGATGCCTTTAAGGGCAGGGGGGACATTTTTCTGTCACAGTCTGTCCTTTGGTCCCCAAAGATTCACATCAATCCCACATGCAGAATACATTCATTTGCTTTATTCCAATATCCCCGGAAGTCTCCACTAATTTCATCCAGGCAATAGTTGTGTAAGGAAAGAAATTGAAATTTGTTACTCAGGGCTTAATCTGGGAAGATTGTTCATACCCAGGACATAACTAACTAGAATGCAAGAAGCCAATGCTATAACTAGACGGAATTTTAAAAAGCATGTGTTTTAGAAAAATCCTTAACCCTAAATGCATGTTCAGATTCAGCATAAGCTTTTTACACTTTAAAGTGTTTGAGCCCATGGAGTAAATGTATCATAATAGTAATACTGTATGTTTCCAAAGCAACTCTCAGTTTGCAAAGCATTTCCACATTCACCTACCTGTACCACCTATCTTTCTCTCTTTGCCCTGGAAATTAACTTTCTGAGGAAATGGTTCAAATGTTGTTATTCCCTTTTAGCAGATGGAGAACCAAGGTTTAGGAAGTCATGTCCTGCTCATGTAGCTACTAGGTAATAATGCTAACACTTGGACTCTGCCTTCAACTTTGCTAGTCTTTTACATTTATTCTCCTACTTATTTAACTGCTCCTCCTTTACTCTCAGTGGACAAGCAGTGTAAAATTAAATTGAAATTGTAAAAGGTCAGTATTTTTTGTTGGTATTAAGTATCTTATAAATAGTGAAATGGTGAAAATACTTTAAATGTATTTGAATTTTTGGAAAATTATTTATAATGGCAACATAGGAAACAACTATTTGAGAATAAGAAGAATGGTTAAAGGTGTGATTGATTCATAAGGTAAAATATTACAGCCATTAAAAATTATATTTCTGAATAGAAAAATGTTTGTGACATAATCATATTAGCATACAGAATTAAGTAAGATAATTTCAACTAAGTTTAAAAATAGATTCACTTATAGAAGAAATATTGGAATAATGTTAATAGGGTCAATAATTTCTGGGTGATGGGATTATTATTAATCTTTAAAAACACTTCTATTTTCTCTAAAGGTATGAATATTCTATAAACTGGAAAATGTTATTAAAAGTATTTTATTGGGGATTGAGTAGAATTTTACTGGCATGAGGCTGATTGTCTTCATTCCTTAATATTTGCATATTATAATTATTGAATTTTATAGCACTTTCACATCTGTTTTCTTTTAAATACTTGTATTTTACTAATTTAAACAGGTTTACTCGAAACCAACAAAGGATTTTGGAGCAAAATAAGAACCAGAAGGAAACCACCAATGTGAGTAGAAATGTTATAAAATAAGCAATTGAACAATTTACAAGTTATACAGTAAGAAGCAAGCCTTATCTAAAACAAGTCTTATAAAGAGGAGATATGCATGGACAAGTTGGAGTGGTTTTGGTGGTGTAGAGTAATTGCCTTAATAATTTAATGTTATTAAGGAAAGCCTATGGGGAGAAAGCCAAGATAAACTACATTGACTCATTTTTTCTTTCTTTTTTCAGACTACCAGTGAGCCTTCTGCCCCATCTTGTGATCTCCTGGACCTGAGTCCCAGTCCTCCGATGCCTAGGGCCACTCTGGGAGAACTCAGCACCAGGAATGCTCAGCTTCCAGACTTAAGTAAATAAGCACTCAGGCCTTTTCAGACCAGCAGAAGAGGTTGATGTGAAACAGTTCTCCTTAATTTCATGATTAAATGCTACCTGAGAAGGACTGAAGTCAGTTTGAATATCAGAGAACTATGTCAGGAGATGTAATTACTTCCTGACACATGGTTGGGTCAAACCCAGTACAGGAATGGGATGTGTCTGGGGGAGGAGGTCCTTGAAATTCATCCCACTGGCTTAGAATCTCATGGAATTCACCTGGCCTGCTTTGTAGAGGTTGCTCAGCTCGATGGTCAATACTTAAAATCTACTCTGAACTCACATTCGATTATCACTGGGTTTCTCTGGTGTACCACAGCATCAGGTAAGGAAATATTTGATGCAAATGAAGAAACTCAGGAATTACAAGGAAGGATCCACGTGATGGTGAAATGTAGAAGGAAAAATACAGGCTGTAAAGCCAGAGAAATCAAAGTCGAAATACCAGTTCTGTCACTTCTTAACCACCTATCCTTTGAGACTTTCTTACTTTTAAAAATGGGAACAATTGCCTTAGAGGGTTGTTATGAAGGTAAGTGAACTAATGTTTATAAAATGCATTGTAAAAATGCCTACAATGCATATTATAAACATTAATAAAAGATAAGGGTTACCTGTCTTATTAACTTACTTATCTTCCTTATTCCCAACAAATGTTAGTAAATTACAAAATAAGGATGATGAAAAATGCTGAAATCCAGAAGTTTTACCAAACTAAAATCAATTTTTCTCTTATGTCATCTGGTGTTTCCAGAGTAATGATATTCAGTATCACTGAATTTGTGGTTTTCTTACAACTTTCCCCATTTCTGAAATGTTGGCTACTTGCTTATGTAGGCCAGTGGGGTGTGTAGAATCAATTACATTGGAGAGTGTTCTTGATTCATCAGGAATTTTCAGAGGGAGAAAAGAATTATTCCATTTGAGCTATTTCACTTAAGATTATGGGACTTGGAGCTTGAGATGAATGTAGAGCTATTCAATATATACCATAACTTTTTTATTTTTGTGCTGGGCAGAACAAGGCCTATAATATCCTTTCCATTCTGGATCAGCTTGGGATTTCAGAAAACCCAATATAAAAGTATTTGTTACCTTTACAATAAACTGTTTTTGCGGTAGGGAATGTCTCTCTCTAACTATCAAATTATGCCTTTTAATTTCTCTTAGAGGGATCTCATGATTTTATGGTGACAAAAAAAATCTGAATCTCTCTAATTTGGTTGGATTTTTTTTATGCTGTGGAAAATCCAACATAACAACTGACAAAATGTTTCAAAGCCAAACAAGTCCATTTTGTGTTCTAGATTTCAGTTCTTCAAGTCCTGATGTAACAAACCACTTAATACCCAGTCTTCATCCACAGATGGATTTGCTAGCCTTGGAAAATACAGAAACACCCCTGTAAGTATGTCAGTAACACTGCAGACCTAATACCATGACATTCTGATTCCTTATATTTAAGAAAACATGGCATAATAGAAAAAATAGACAATTAAAAATCAGTCAGACCTGAGTTAGAATCTCAGTACTACTGCCTTCTAGCTGTGTGACCTACGATGAGATACATAGCCACTGTGAATGTTCATTTTTTTTTCTAAGAATACTGTCTGGGATTCTTACAAAGAATACTGTCTAGGATGAGATGCTATATGCACAACTCCTAATATGATACTTGGTACATAATAAGCCTTTAATACATTATTTCTGGTTTTCATTTAGTGGTAACAGGAGGTAGGAGAAAAATGGGAAATACAGTGACAAGGGAGGTTGAAGAGAAATGAGGCTCACAATTAAGAGTAATGGCCACAGCAATTACAGAGCACTTGCTATGTGCCAGGCACTTTATTAAGCTATTTTTGTTTATTTCTTGTAATCTCTAAAGTTCTTCAGTCAGTGCTATTATTATTCTTATTGTACAGGAGAAGAGACTGAGACTTCTTAGTCCCTTCTCTATCCAAGAAAATAGAACTTACCCACGTTCATATAGCCAGACCTGAGTAGCAAGTAGCAAGTCTGATGAATCAGTAGTTCACCAAGAAAGAAATATTGATGACCCATAAACATATGCAATGATGTTCAAGTTTACTTGTAGGGAAATGTAAATTAAACTCCACTGAGGCATTTTTTTTTAAACTTCTCAGATTGAGAAAAGTCCAAATATTTGTTAACATACTTTGTTGGCTATGGAAAGACAGTTACTGTCACAAAGTTTTGCAACCCTTATAAGGGGCAAGTGGCAGTATCTACTAAAATTATAAATACATTACATTTGAGCCTGCAGCCTTATTTCTAGGAATTTATACTGTACTTATACAAAATTAGGACTTTATAAGATTTTTTTTTTCAACATTTAGGCAATAGTAAATAATTGGAAACAACTCAAGTATCCATCAGTTGGGGACTCGTTAAATAAATATCTGTACAATATATTATGCAGCTAGGGGGTGAAAAACAGGCTGTTTATGTGAAAGACAATCACCAATATATTTATTGCTAAGTGAGTAAAAAAGGTGCAAAGTAGTGTGTGTATAATATATTGCATTTGTGTAAGAAGGTGGGAAATAAGAATATATATTACTATTTGTCTCTATTTGTATAAAGAAACAAAGGATATAGGAAGAGAGAAACTATAAGAGAATGGTTACCTAAGTTCAGGGAGAGGCAGAATAAACAGAGCACAAAATAAATAGTTGGATTTGCCTTATGTCAAAGCCTTTGTTGCTTTTTTCATTTTAAATGTATATATTTTAGGTAATAGGCAATATATTTCCATGATTCAGATATCAAAATAATATAAAATGATGTTTAAGACAATTTTTGATCTCATCTGCACTTCATTCTTCCTTTCCCCTTTTCTGTAGTGTCACTGTCTGCTCCCACCCAGATAATCACTTTAAGTTCTTACTTCTTACTTCTTCCAAAGTGTCTTTAGGTAAATATGAATGTGAATTGTTGTCTCCTTTACTAAATAAAATGCAGCATACTATCTCACTGTTCTGAACTTTGCTTTTGCTTTTCACTTAACAACATATTTTAGCAGTGCATTTATTTATATCAATGAATTTAGATTTTTTTAAAAGTTGCCTAGTGTTGTTTTATTTAGATACTGTCTACTCAATCACCAAATCACTTTTCTATGCTTAAACGGGGGAGGGGCAGAGGGAGGATAATGAGAAAGAAGAATCAGACTGAGAAGAAAAGTGAGCAAAAAAAAGTATAAGGGAAGAAGAAGAGAAAGAAAAGATTCCTATGTTGGGAAATGGTACAGTTTCAATGGCTATCTCATGAACCACTAAGTTGGGTCAATACCTTAGATTGACTACCTCAGGTCTTGGCTATATGCAGTGCATGTAAATGTTGAAATATAGGCAAATTTCTAGTGAAGCTGCTTGGTAAATAATGTAGTTTAAAGTAGCTGATTCTGTAAAACAGCAACTCAGAGTGTTGTGTAAAAAAAAAAAAAAGTTAGCTGATTTGTTCCTGCTGTCTTGCTAATCTTGTTGGATAATATGAGAAACAATAAGTAATACAGATAAAATCCCATTATAACAAATATCTCTAAATTCATTAAAAATCAAATTCCAGCTAATAGCTGCTTATTTTAATCTGTAACCTTGTGGATCTCATACTTTAGTTTACCTAAAAATCACCTGGGTAACTGTTAAAAAGTCAAAACTACCGGCCCCTGGATATTCTGATTCAGTAGCAGGAATCACTACTTTTAATGATGATCTCCGAGAATCATGAAGCAGTGGTTTTCTAATGATATATTGAGAAACCCCATGATGGGCATCTACCCCAAGATTCAGATATGAAAATAATTATAACAGTTCTTAGAATCCAGAGGCATAAAAGATAATCTGTAATAGCAACAAGTTTGTTTTCTAGACTATCATATTAAGTTATATCTATTTTTTTCTAATTTTCAAAAAAAATCTTATAGATACATGAAACTGTATAATTAGACCCAGCTTTTCACTGTGTCAGAAACTGAAGCATTAAAGTTGACTAGGGCATGAACCTGGGTTAAATCGTATGCCTAAGTTCACTTAAGAGAGGCAAAATCAGCCATTAAAATGTCTAAATGGTCTTCAGATTTTTTTTCCTACTCTTCATGTTTGCAGTTTAATTTGTTCACCATCACAGAACAAGTGAGTGATGCAATTGTTCATAACAGAAAGAATCCTTGAAAAACAACAATGAAGACAGGATAAAGTCATAGGTCATATTTATAGTCTACTTACTATCAGGCAACAAGCTAATAAGTATAAGAAATGCTTATTGATTACTTACTAATGCTCCTAATAACACTATGAGGTAGGTACCACTATCAATTTCATTTTAAAACCAAGGCTGAGGAAGATTAACTTGCCAGTGGTTGCCCAGCTAGTGCTGAAATTGGATTCAAATTCAAATGGGTCTGACTTCAGTAATTGTCCTTATTTTTCCTTTTGTACTTAATTTTATTTTTAAAACTTTCACATAGTAAAATTGACCTTTTGTTTGGTGTACAGTTCTGTTAATATGAATTTTAACATATGTATAGATTCATATAACCACCGCCACAGTCAGAATACAGAATAGTTCCATCACCCTAAAAAACTCCTTTGTGCTATTTCTTTGTAGTCACACCTTTGCACCCCTAACCTCTGACCCCCAGCAACCACCAAACTGTTCTCTATCTCTATATATAGTTTGTCTTTAAAAATGTCATCTAAATAGAATTATACAGTATGTAATCTTTCTAGAAGAGATTGTATAAAATTGGTGTTTATGTGTTTTGAACTCATACATTCAACATTGTTGTCTTAACTAACTGACCCTTTTATCATTATGTAATATCCCTCTTTGTCCTTCATAATTTTCTTTGCCCTGATGTCTAGTTTGATATTAATATAGACACTCTAGTTTTCTTTTCATTAGTGGTTGCATGGTATATCTTTCTCTATCTTTTTACTTTTAACTTAACTATATTAAAATATTTAAACTTTCTTATAGATAGCATATATCTGGTTCATCCATTATATGTATTCCCATAATTTCTGTCTTTTAATTGATAAGTTTAGACCATTTACATTTAATGTAGTTGTGTGTTGGCTTTAGGTTTTCTATTCCCTTTTTTCTCTCTGTCTTCTCTTTCCTGTCTTCTTTTGGATTATTAGAATATTTAGTACTCCCTTTTAATTTATCTATTGTGAGTTTGACTGTATTTTTGTATAGTGTGTGTGTGCATATATAGAGAGAGAAAGAGGGAGAGAGGTTTCTTCAGTGATTTCAGTATACTTAATTTTTCAGTTTACTTAAAATCAGTGCTTTACAACTTGAAGTAAAATGTAGAAATCTTATCACCATACAGCTCCTCCTTTATATTATAGTTATCTTATATATTAAATCTCTATACATTGAAAAGAAACAACCAACAATGTTATAATTTTTGCTTGTAGACCTCAAATATATTTTAAAGAACTCAAGAAGAGAAAAATAGTCTATTATATTTACCAAATATTTATTGTTCTTCTTTCTTCTAGTATAATTCCCCTTCTTTTTGAAGAATTTCCTTCAGCAATTGTTTTAGAGCAGATCTATTGGCAGCAGTCTTTTTGTTTTACTTGATGTGAGAATGTCTTATTATATCTTTGTTCCTGAAGGATGTTTCCACTGAATATAGAATTCTGAGTTCACATCTGTTCTTTCTGCAGTTTTAAAAGGTGGTTCCAATCTCTTCTGGCCTAAATGGTTTCCAGTGAAAAATTTACATTAATTTGATTTGTTGTTCCCCATATAGATAATGTATTGTGTTCTCTGACTCTTTGGCTGCTTTAAAGAATTTTTTTTTATTATTCCATTTTGAGCAGTTTTGTTATAATGTATCTAGGCACCAACTTGTGATTTGTTCTGTTTGGCATTGGCTGATTATATTAGTTTCCTGTGGTTATTGCAATAAATTCCACAAACTGGGTGGTTTAAAAACCACAGAAATTTATTCTTTCATAGTTCTAGAGACAAGAAGTCTGAAATTCAGCAGAGCCATGCTCTCTCCAGGACTTTAGTGGAAAATCCATTCTCTGCCTCTGCCCCATTCTGGTGACTTGCTGGCAGTCCTTGGATTTCTTGGTTTTTGGCCACATCATTCCAATTTTTGCCTGTCTCTTCACCTGGCTTTTTCTTCTGTGTGTCTCAAATCTCCCTCTGCTTTTCTCTTTTGAGGTCACTTATCATTGGTTTTATGGCCTAGATAATACAGTATGATATCCTCATCTTTAGATTCTTAATTACATCTGTAAAGACCCTTTTTACCAAATAAGGTAACATTCACAGGTTCTGGGAATTACGACATGGGCATATCTTTTGGGGCACCACCACTTAACCTACTACATGGTACTAATATTTGTGTCATGAGAGTTTATCAGGAAAGCAGAAAATGTGTAGTGCTAAAAAAAGAAAAAAAAATGGAGAAATAAGTACTGAACACTTCACAAGTTTGGTAAAAGACATAAACAAATTCAAGATGTGTCATTGTCTCATAGGTATTTAGGGTTCTGTTTATTACTTTTTTTAATTTTCTCTGTTGAGATTGGATCATTTCTATGATCTGTTTTCAAGTTCACTATTTCTTTTGTCATCTCCATTTTGCTATTGAGCTCATCTGTAAGTTTTTTAAAATTTCAGTTATTATAATTTCAAGTCTAAAATTTCCATCTGGTTCTTTATTTTTTTTATTTTTTATTTTATTTATTTATTTTTTTGAGACAGAGTCTCACTTTTGTTGCCCAGGCTAGAGTGAGTGCCGTGGCATCAGCCTAGCTCACAGCAACCTCAAACTTTTGGGCTCCGGCAATCCTCCTGCCTCAGCCTCCCGAGTAGCTAGGACTACAGGCATGTGCCACCATGCCCGGCTAATTTTTTATATATATTAGTTGGCCAATTAATTTCTTTCTATTTATAGTAGAGACGGGGTCTCGCTCTTGCTCAGGGTGGTTTCGAACTCCTGACCTCGAGCAATCCGCCCGCCTCGGCCTCCCAGAGTGCTAGGATTACAGGCTTGAGCCACCGCGCCTGGCCTTATCTGGTTCTTTATATCTTTTGTTTCTTTGCTGAAACTTTCTATTTTTCCTTTTTTTAATCTAGATTATTTGCAGTTCCATGTTTGGAGCATTTGTAATTTCAACATCTGTGTCTTCCTGGCATCAATATCTATTGTCTTCTCATGCAAGTTGAAATTTTCCTGGTTCTTCATATGCCTACTAATTTTAGATTATGTCTTGGACATTTTTAATGTTTTATTATGAGACTCTCAGTCTTATTTAAATCCTATTCAAAAATGTTGATATTTTGATTTTAGTAGGCAAACAACCTGTTTAGATTCATGCCACAATTTCGGCCTGCTTCGGTGGGCTGTGGTTCCAATGTTAGTGAAGTTTTCAAAGCCATCGCAGTGCTAATCAAATCTGTCCCACATATGTTTCAGCCAGTGGTCAATATAAAGTCCAAACAGCAGGTCATGTGTTTGATGCTCAGCATTTTTAGCATCTTCACCGAGATCAGATCATTCATGCATAGGGCAAGGGGTGAGCCTGGGGTTTTGTAAACAACTTTATGAGATTGTTTTCCTGAATTCCTCCATCATTGTGATTTCTTTGGTACTTTCTGGTTTCTTGGGGTTCCCTTTTGATTCTCCAGTCATAAAGCTGGAGCTTTAGTTACCCTACAATACCACACATTTCCTCGACCATGCTTATATCTATGATTAAATCACTGGACAGAAAGGAAACAAGAAACAGGATTCTCCTCATCTTCTTGTTATCACAACTCCTATTGGAGAGGAAGATTCCATTTCCTTCATTGAGTTTTAATCTCCTACAGTTCCTGGTTGCCTCTGCTGTCACTGCAGCCACCTTGAGATAGCCTGTTGTGTGGGGTGTGAGAGAAGAGGATAAAAAGGGGCACAGGATTTCCACACATTTTAAGCATTAGGATTTCCCTTTTCTTCTTGAGTGAAAATGAGAGGGCTCTTTCTGGAGCCCTGTCTGTCCTCACTGATGCCTGCATTTGGGTTGCAGGTGGCATTGCATTTACTCAGGGAATATAAAGAGATAAAACATGGTCAATACACCAACAGTTCAGTGATTCTGGTTGTCTTTCCCAGTCAGTCTGCTACTATTTACTTTTCAGAGTCCTGAAATAGTTGCTGTGTGCATTCCAGCTTTAATAGTGACACTTCGTTGGCAAGACAGGGTAAAGTGTGTCTGCTCTACCTTAGCCTGAACCGGAACCCTCTCAGCTTCCTTCTTAACTTCTGCTCTGCACTGCTGCTCATCCTTCAGAAAATGATGGGGTGGTAGTTACTCTGATGGAAAGACTGAAGGCTCTGTTCTTACCAGTTAGTGCACACTCCAGTATCTCAGGGCTACCAAGGGACAGTGCTTTAGATCTTTGGCATCATGACCTGGTGGGCACTGAAACCAACCAGATGGCAATTGTTATATAAAAGTAACACTATGCAGTCTCAGGGTATGTTTTAGGTTTTGCTTTTAGACTAGGAAAATCATCTTACTTTTTGCATTTGTGTTCTCACTGTAGGGTAATCATGCTGTGTTATCACACTATCCTAGGTTTACCCAAAGGACCAGCCAAAACCTCGCCTCCAGTCATACATATGATAATGTAAGTAACAAAACCCTTTTCTGGCAGTGCACTTAGCAGATTATCATGGCCAAAAAAGAACTCCTAGCCATGAATTCTCATGTTCTGCTCTGTAATGCATTGATGCAGCCGCTATTAGGACTTTTCCTTTCCCTCACTTCTGTTAGCAAGATAGTTAAGGATCAAAATTCCTTTAGAGTTATATTTATTGTCTCCACTTTCTTTCGCCCATCCTCTTTGACAAGACTTCAGAAAGGCTTTTATCCCTACCACTCTACAGACAGAGCTCTTGTCATGGTCACCAATGACTCTCATTAAATATAGAACTGCAATTCTCAGTGTTTATCTTACCTGATTGTCAGCAGCATGTGACAAAGTCAATCACTCCCTCCTTTTTGTACACGTGGCTTACAGACACCGCTCACTTTTGGTGGTTCTTCTGCCTCACTTTCCTTTCTTCTGTCCTTTGCTGGCCCTTCTTCCTCTACTGACCTTTGAGTATTGGAGACTGGGTCCAGGCTTCAGACTTCTCTATCTCCATTCATTCGTCCATGGTCTTTTGGTCTCTTATCTTGTAGTGACCATTCAAATTCTGACAACCTGTAAGTTTGTACCTCCAGCCCAGCCCCCTTGCCTAAACTCAGAACTCATATATCCACTTTCTACTTAGCAGCTTCTCTTGCTTTCTTCCCAGTCTCCACTTTCAACCTGCTCTTCCTGCAGACTTCCCACCTCAGTAAATGGCCACTTGATTCTTTCAGTTGCTTAGGTCGAAAACCTTGGGTAATAGCCTTGACTACTACCGTTTACTTTGAAGATATGTCCATTATTCAGCCATTTCTCATTTCTCACTTCTCACTGCTGCATCCTTGTCCCAGCACCAGCAGACAGATATTACAGTGGCCTCTAAAAGCTTGCCCTGTTCCAGCCTTTGCCTCCATCCCTTCCCCCCCGACCTCACAATCTAGTCTCAAAACAGAAATCACAGCAATGTTTTTCAAAAGTAGTCACATTATGTCCCTCGTCTGCTCAAAACCCACCTATGATTTTCCTCCTCACTGCTTTACTCAGAAAAACCTGGTATGCTGATGTGAGCCTACCTCTTCCCTCTCCATCCTCCCCTCTTGCCTCTCCCACTCGGCTCACTCTGCTCCCACCATACTGGCCTCTTACTTCAGAGCTTATGAACTTGTGTCCTCTCTGATAATCATGTTAGTCAGGGCCCTACATAACTGTCCGCAAATGGTGAGGCATTCCCTGTCCACAAACTATCAGAGCAGTATCCCGCCCCAGCCTCTCCTCCCCATTACCCTACTTTTTTATTAGAGCAAGTGCCATCTGCCATCTGTTTACATTTGGTGATGTCTGCCCCATGAGGGTAGGGACTTGGTCTGTTTTATTTATTGCTTTATTAATAGTGCTTGTGCCCGGGAACATTTGTGGAATGAAAGAGGAAAATTATAAGAAGAGATACTTCTAATTAAGATTTTTATCTTTATCTTTATAAGCCCTGATTTGACAGCATCACTGTGTGCCTCTCTATAGATTTCAGACTTTTTTTTCCCTGTTGGAGGCTGAGATTTTATGTTCAGAGTGAAACCACGAAGAATCTGGATTGAACCATACAATCCTGCTTCTTTTTTAAAGACAACATGTGTTGTTTTTTTATTTTAGTTTATATGGGAAGATACAATAGGCATAAAACCAGAGAGAAAAGTAGTAAATTTTGTAAGTAGTTACAACCTAAAAACTAAAGTAATAGTTAAAAATTACTAGTTCTTATCCAGTTGAGAGTATATGGTTCTTGGAATAGTGCCACTTGCAAAACTAGGAATCTAAATAATAAAAGCTGAATGTAGAATGTTTATTTGAACATGTGTTATGCTTTCTTAAGGTTCCAGAACATTCAAATTCAGTATTGCTACAGCCAGTGAGTCTACAGTCCGTTGCAGCAGCACCATCAAACCAGAGGCTACCACCTTTGCCCAGCAATCATCCAGGTATATGAGACCTTATTATTTGCATCAAATAAGGAAAAAGATTTATTAGTAATTGAAAATAGGAGAAATTAGAGGAGCTCCTTTGCATTTTTAAGCAATATGAAATAAATTTAGGGCAGTGGCCATTAGAACTGATTTTAAGAGATGGTATAAATGCTTGTGTTATATATTGAACTAGGGTATAAAATGAACTTTTAGTTGACATTTGGAAATCTTTTTGTTACAGATTTGTAGATTTGTTGCACTTGGGAGTAGCATTGGAACACCAGTCTGGTTTGGTTGTGTTTAAGATCTTATAGTTGAAGTCTAAATTAATAAAAATAATATTAATTGTGTATACTCCTTGAAAAGTATAATCTGTGTTTACCAGTCTCTTTTTTTTTTTTTTTTTGCCTAAAGGGATGACAAAGAATGATCTCCAGCCACCCAATTACTACGAGGTAATGGAGTTTGATCCCTTAGCTCCTGCTGTCACTGCAGAGTAAGTCATTTACAAAATGATTAATTTATCTTTTGTCTTGGTTCCCTTTGATAGCAGAGCTAACAGGGCTTGGTTATACATTTTACTTTTAGTTCTTGGCAGAAATTGATGGCCTTATTAAAAATGACTTATGAGGTTTTATGGCAGCTATTGCTCTTAATGGTCTTATCATTCCAGCCTTGTGACTAAAAAAATAAAAATGCTAGAGTTGCACATTAAGAAATAACCGGAACTGAGGTGTGTTAATGGATTCTTTCCTTGGCAGAAAGCCAGGTTCACTCTAGCTTGAGAAGGGCACTATTCACTGATTGGTGACATAAGTTAACACCACATTGATGGGATATTTTAGCTGTTCTTTAAGAACTGATCCAAAAAAAAAAAAAATGTAAGAACTTATTTTTAGTCTTCTCTGTATGACAACAATGTGCTTTAAATAGATAAAGCATTAGTGTAAAAATTACTTTTTAACTTGAAATCCTTAAAGCACCATTATTTTATGATTTCATATTGGTCAAGTATATATAAATATTTATGGGATGGTAGAGTCATTAAAGTTTTAATATGCTTTGAGTGACTAAAGGTTACCTCCAAAATTCTTGCAAATGATTGAAACGAGTTTATGGAAATCATTATTCAGAAACTGTCAGTCTGCAGGCTGTGTCTTGCCCAAAGTTGTGATTTGTTTGACCTATGCAGAATTTAAAATGTGCATTTTAAAAATTAATGGCCAACAGTTAAGCTGAGATATTTAAAAATAAAAAATCTGGACTTCTTGATCTTGTGGATACTCTGAGCAGCACCAGGCCTGCATTTTTACATATCAGCAAGGGGTTGGGGCTGAGTAGTAGCTGTCACCTTTACACAGGTAGGCTCTGCAGCCCACCAGGTTCCAATGGACCCTGTGTCTCTTCTTTGCCCGACATGTATAGACACTTAATGTTTTGATTCCTGGCTTAAACTCTCAATGTAATGATTGATTTTGGAATAATTTATAAGTACATATTAATGGATTTAAGAGTTCATTAATTTTTTTTTCCTAGCTCTGGATTGTGAAATTTCCCTAGGTCATTCTGCTTGATAAAATAGATATATCACTGAATACATTAGTGGTTTAAGAAACTGGCACTAAAGTTGGTATGCTTTCAAGAAACTTAATGTTTTTTTATCAGTTTCTGTATCAAATAGTGGAAACATTCTTGATTATATTCAAATTAGGAAATTGCTATAAGTAGATATGGCAGTGTGAGAGATAGTGAAGGTGAGACAGGGAGGCTGAACAGGTGAAGCTTGAGAATCTCTGTACTATTGTAGTTCTTCTAGGGGTTAGGGTGTCTCGGTTCCTTTGAAAGTTTCATGAAATCCAGAGATTTCTCTCCATGGAAAAGCATAGAATCTTGCAGAAAAGTTAAGGGATTTTTCACATCACTGGGTATCCATGAACCCCAAGTTGAAAATTTTTGCTTTTGCAGGACATACAGTTCAACATTTATGAAGACACACATGATTCATTTGACAAATTGATTATTTATTAAGTGCCAGGGACTATGTGTGCTTGGTGCCTAATTTATAATGTTGAGCAAGAAACATGTTTCTTGTCCTCAGAGGTTAAATATAGTGTGGAGATAGAAACTAGAAAAATCACCAGGCTAATAAATATATGTACAATTTGCATTAATGGTATGAAAGAATATGGTGACTTGAGAGTGTTTAACAAGAACTAAGTTAAATGGGGGTTAGAGGAAGCTTGAGGATGTGACATTAAAGCTGAGACCTGGAATTGTTAGTCAAGTGAGAAGTTTGGGAATAAGTATCATAGTCCCAGGGCCACAGTCCTGAACCGGGATCCCCAACCGGGCTTGCAGCCTGTTTAGGAACCAGGCTGCACAGCAAGAGGTGTAGGACGAGCCAAGCTTCATCTGTATTTGTAGCTGCTCCCTCCCTATTCCTCACATCAAGGCCTCAGCTCTGCCTCCTGCCAGATCAGCAGCAGCATTACATTCTCTTAGGAGCGTGAACTCTACATGTAAACTGCACATGTGAGGGATGTAGGTTGTGTGTTCCTTATGAGAATATAATGGCTGGGGTGGAACTAAGGTGGTGATGCTAGGACTGGGGAACGACTGCAAATCATCCCAAAACCATCCTCCCACCCCTCAGTTCCATGGAAAAATTGTCTTCCATGAATCCAGTCCCTGGTGCCAGAAAGGTTGGGGACAGCTAGCCCAGGGAACAACTTGTACAAAGACCCAAAGGAAAGAGTCTTGGCACATTCAATGAAATGGAAATGCCAAAGCCAAAAGTGGAGAGAGTAAGGAGCCTAATACCAGATGTGGCAACTGTAATTTGGAAGCAAAGAGATGTGAACGTACAATTGTGAAGAACATTGCTGAGAGGACAAGTACTATGAAAACTGAAAACTAGATAATGGATTAAGTAACAGAAATCATTGGTGATTTTAGTCAAAGCCATTTTGATGGATTGATGGGAACAAAAGCCAGATTTCAGTGTGTTAAATAAGAGATGAAAGAGACAACAGGTTACGGTGCTGGCAGTTAAAAACCAAAATCGTACTTTGAAATTGGTAACATAACCCTTTTGCCATGATGGCTTGTTTGTTTCAGAGCTATTTATGAAGAAATTGATGTTCATCACCACAAAGGAGCTCAAAGTCATAGTGACTGTTGAGGTAAACAGTTAAGTTCAAGTTAACAATTTCATTTAACAGTTTCATTGAACAATTAACAGTTCAAGTTAAACAATTTTATTCCACATTCCGTATAATTTCAGTGTAATTGTTACTTCCTGTATTTAGTGTATTTATATTTTGTAAGGGCCATCTGAGTCTGACACTTTGGTAAGTGAAATATTATATGATTTCCCTTCAATTACTCAAACTGTAGTGAACTACTATCCATTAATGAAATATACTGTGATCTTGTCACCTGGAAATGAGGCTTGGGAATGCAGAAGTTACTGTATTGAATAGAAATATAATGTTAACAAAAGTAGACGGTCAGTAGAAACTTCTTAGCACTGAAATCAGGCATATTTGTCTTTAATGAACAGTTAATACTTGTTAACTGGTACCAGTAGAACCCATTAATTGTTAGTTCCTGTTAATAGGTCAGGGTTTTTCCTATTTGCTGCATTACTCATCCCATTTATTTACTAATGAATGGTCACCAGTGACCTATTAGCCTTATTTTATTTCCCTCACACCCTCCCCCTTGGAAGGGAGTACATTCCCACCTTTTCTTCTATCAAACTGTTGTTCTACAGCCTCTCAGTAAAGAGGGATAAGGAAAAAGAGTTATTAAGGAATAGAGAAAGAGGACAGGATGAAGATTGGCTATTTTCTTCTCTTTATTTTAGGTTAAAGTGGATGAACAGCTCACTAGCCACATCATGGGTGCCAACTCTCTAAAGGGTAGACCCTGTCCAGCTGTGAGGCCCAGAAGACCTACTAACCTGTTGAAAGCCACAATGGAACATTTCTCCTCTGCTATTGCGAAGATTAAATGGAAAAATAACAGTTCCAGGGTAACATTTATGGTTCTAACAGCTCAAGATTTTTTTCAATAGAATTTGTTTGTAACAAATACTCACTTTAAAACTTCAGCAGAAGAAAAATTACTTAGTCCTTAGGCCGACCAGTTTAATTGCAGTATGTATCAAAGGTCTTTCTGTATTTAGAAATCATCACACAGCTGTGATAACAGTAGATGAAGATTATTTTACTACAAAATAATTCTGAGTAGATGTTAGCACAAAATGTGAGAAACTTAATGTATTCCTCAGGAAGAACATTGAGTGCCTTCATTTAACTAAAGTTGAATGTAAAAGTCAATTTGCACTTCTTTATAAATAATGATTTAGAATTATTGTTAAACCCTTGATGACTGTAGTTTAATTATAGTTCAGGTGTCTTGAACAGGTCACTAGACTGTGTTGGGTGGCCTTTAAATATGATTCTTTGTAATGCTAAGTGTTCTTTTTTTCTTTTTACTCTAATTTAACATTTCTATTTGTAACAAAGACTACTAGAAAACATTCGTTTACATAAATTACAACAAATAAATTACTATTAAAATAATTTAATACATCTTTTTTACAGTTTGTTCTCAGAAGAAATCTTCACAATCCCACCATTACATTTTGACATCCAGGGACTTGGAATGCTAGCAGCTTAGTAGATATACTTAAATATTTTATTTCAATTTTATGACACCACAATTAACTCTGAATGTAAAATAGCTCTAGTTCTTAAAGGAAAATTAAAGTCAAATTTGAAATAAGAATATAAATCTTTGAACAATCTGTTAGAGTTTAGTGACTCCTACTCTGAGCTTTTAAAATAGTGACTGTTTATACTGAGGGAAAATAGCAACCAACTAATTTAGGCACAATAATAAATATGGTAAAAAGTTCTGGTTATGACCTGAAACAGATAACCCTGGGCATAAATTTTTTTTTTTTTAATTCTCAGATTACTTGCTACAAATATGAAGGGCTAATAATTTGGTTGAATCATCAGAAGAAACCCATATGCCTATTTAGAATATATGAGTAAATTGAGAACAGGTTCAGCTTTAAAGTGGGATAAATCAAAGGAAATAAACAGGTAGAACCATTTAAAATAGGGTTCACATTATTGTAGAATATTTCTCCTTTAAGAATGCAGGATACATGATTTTTTAAAAATCACAAATTTGAAGCAGGACTTAGTTGCTGACATCAATTATAGCCTGGAACTGGCAACGTGTATCCTTCTTTTGCTTCAAAAAAAGTATAAGAAAGCGTGATGAGATCGACATTCACCATTTTTGGATCTTCAGCAAATTCAGGATCAATGTAGAAAAACACTGGCATATCTACTTCCTCTTGGGGATTAAGCCTTTGTTCTTCAAAACAGAAGCACTAGAAGTTATAGAAAGGTATTTGTTTAATAACATTTCTATTTTCTACCTATAACAACTAATAGAGTTCATTTCTTGATTTTAATAAGCATACTACTAAATATAATCTTTAAATTCTGTGATAGAGTAACAGTAACTTTTCATCTCAGATTGAGTTTTGCATAAAGGATTGGGAATCAACAGATTAACTTTAATCTTAAAAGCAGATATCCATTTGGTTTGGCTCTCAATCTCCACATATTGGGTATAAACAATGAAGAAAAATAGCTTGACGTTCAGAAGAAATGAGTTTTCAGGAATCATTAGTATCTGCTAAAAAAAAATTTCATACCACAGTTTCATGTACTTTTATCATTTTCTACAAGTTTGCATTTAGTTGTACCTGTATTTTATTGAAATACTGCCCAGCTTCAAATGGAACAACGTTGTATGTAGAAATTCCGATTACTGGTTTGTCAGTAGGATTCTTAGCTTTATAAAATGCCAGTGCAGTCTCTCCTGGAACCACCTGTTTTAAAGAAACATACATTATTAATATTTTAAATCTCACCCAGCTCTTTTCCCTGCTAAATTATAGTCGTATTATTTTTTCTATTCATCGGATCACAATACCTAAGCTAATTAGCTATTATATTAAGCTTATGTAAAGTTTATCAAAATATACTGTGAATATTACCCATAAACGTATCTGAGTTTCAGACTTTATTACATATGTCAATGAAGAACCAGTACTATTATGCATAATTAGTTATGGATTGTACTCTTGTATATCTGGGATCTTCAAGCAATAATCTGCATATTGAGTTATTTAAAATGTGTCCAAGGACAACCTAAGAATGTCACAGCCTTTATAACACACCTAAATGCCATGATTAACTAAATCTTTTTTTTAAAGGCTTACCAACATTAAACTTACTTCATAACCAGAGATTAAATTTACGTTTATTAAACCAAAAAGTGTCAATACGTTGGTTTGAGAGAATAACTAAGAAAAACAGCAAGGCTTTAAAAAAAAATTTCCAAGGATATTCTATCACTTGTACCAATTCAGCCACTAATACCTTGTATACTACCATGTACCTGGAACTAATATTCAAAATTATAACCTACAAAATCCTTCATCATTGAAGAGATTCAGTCATGTTTACTTAACTGGGCAAGCTTTTCCAATAAGCATTGAAATTCTTTTTAGCTAATCCTCAGTTAATGAGATAGTATCAGTTAAAATCTTTCCAGGATTACTGTTAGTCACAGTTTTAGAAAACTTTTTAGGTATAGTCTTATTGAAATATAACATGAGATTTTACTATCTACTGATTAATTCAAAGGTGCTAAATTTTTTTTTTTCTTTTAGAGGGACAAGGATACTTTTGATGTAAACCAATAAACTACTTTCCATTGTAACCTAGGATTTTCAAGATTTTTCCTATATCATCTATACCAGAGGAAACATCAGGAACCTGTATAGTCTGACAGCTAATGCTACTGCCAGGATTAGTGACCAGAGGACTACTCAGTCAAGTCTTAATATGACTTTAATAAAACAGATGACATTTTCTATTGTTCCAAGCTGACTTACACTATCATATAATTTAAAAGTTAAAGTTTATATTCTGTTATATTAGGTATAGGGCACTATCAAAAAGTAGTCTATGGGAATAAGAAATTACAGTAATGGAACCTATTATTTTGAAATTGAGTTGAGGTGAGTGAAACAGTTTAAAGAAAGGAATTTATATTGAAAAAAGTAATCTTTTAATGACTGATTTAGTCACTTACATATATTTCTGTTTGCTGAGGTCTAAAGTTCCACTGAAGACTTGCATGCACATCTGCATTAAAGGTAACTTTAATTATTCGATCCTTAACAGGCACCATGTTTTCAATCTGATCTGATGCATGACCTGCAACTGCTGATCCTCCAAGTCCGGTAGTCTAGAAAAAGATACTAAATATGTTAAACAGTACATTTAGGTGTTGATCTATTTATTGGATAAAAATAAAATTTTAAAAACAATTTAACTTTAATAATCCCATTGGAGCCAAGCTACATTACTATCACTGACCATTTCCTATAACTATGTCAATGGTCTGACCACTTTTGGAATGTCAAGAGCCTGTATTTGTTAAAGTCATTCCTGTTTTTCAGCAATCCTTTGGTTATCTGGCATGGTCAAAAATGAGTCATTTGGGAAAAGCAAATTCTCTAGATAAGTGAATTATTATCACTGATAATACAGCACAGAACTTCCAGCTTTGGCTTTTATTAAAGACCCCTTTATTGCTAGTATTTTATATTAGCAATTATTCACTTAGAGAAGTAAGATTTACAACCTGGTCATTCCAATGAAAATACTTACGTAATTCCATTTTTCCATGTTCTTGTCTGGTTCTTTTCTATATCATAGCTTTTAGAATCTAAATTAGCTTGTAGTTTCACTTCTACATTCTACTTTTCTAAAGCATCGTAAGTATTTTCCCATGTTGGTTAATGTTTTTGTGTATTTTTCTGTACTTCTCTGCATAGTACAACTTTTATATGTATCACCAATTAATCAGAGCACCTAATCCCTTTGGCTACTGAATCAGCTAGTCATAGGGCATCAGGATAATTTGTGTCTGACACCTGTTTTCTTTATTGTCATTATTTCCTTATTTTCAGATGCTTTAAAAAAAAAAAGTCCTTACTTCCAAGGTCAACATTCTTCTGATGCTTGACGTTGTCAGAATTCCAGTTTCCGGATAATTTACCTGTTACTATACTAGAAAAAAAATACCAAATTTGAGGCTAGGGGAAGACTCCCAGCAAGATATAGTATTACTATCTCCTAGTTATACAAGTCAACTAGCTTCACTCATGCAATATCACTGAATTACATTATAACCCTAAAAGTGTCAGAGAGCAAGCCTTTGCACTTGTTTAACAGGTAAGTGTATTCTTCTGCCTAAAAATGCTATAACGTTTAAGGGTTTCGCCCTTGCTCAGGCTGGTATGGAACTCCTGAGCTCAAGCAATCCTCTTGTCTTGGCCTCCCAAAGTGCTAGGATTACACTAGGCATGAGCCACCACGCTCAGCCAAAGTTTAAGTTTTAAGATATAACTCCTTTTCTTGACGAATTTGAGTCGTGAATAAAAAAAATTAAGTGTCCTCCTTCAACAGATTCTGTAATATATTCTTTGAATATAGACTGTTCAGGTTTCTTACTTCACTGCTTAAAGAAATTAAAATAGAGTAGAAAAGAGTGCTGAAAAGAAACATCTACTAGTTGTGCCACAAGTCAGCTCTAAGAACTGAATAAGCCGTATTTTCTTTGGGCTACACTTGACATGCTCATAAGATGAGGTCACTGTACTAAGTGGTTTATATAATCCCTTATTTCTGGGTTTAAAATTGTGATTCCAGAAAAAAAAAAAAAGGTATTCTTTTAGAAGTATCACTGTTTAACATCCAAATTGATTTTAGGGTTACAAATTACATTTTGTTTTACCTTCCTGCCCTATGACTGCATGTGGACACACAGACAATATTATTAGTTATTTATTTCTTTATTTGGAGAAGAAAAGAGTAGTTTATTAATTTGCCAGTAAATGAGGAGTTTGGCAGACTACCATCTCAAAGCACCAACATCCTTGTCAGTTACTTTAGTTTTAGGCAGGGTTTCTCAGCCTCACATTTTGGGTTGAATAATTTTGTTGTGGGGGGAGCGTGTCCTGTGTACAGTTGGATATTTAGCAGTATCCCTAGGCTCTATGCACCAGATACCAGCAGCATCGTATCCCTCCCACTCCCTCAGGTTGTGGCAACCAAAAATGTCTTCAGACATTGTTAAATGTCCCCTTGTGGACAAAATCACTTTCTTCCAGCCCCTGGTGGTTTGAGGGGGATTTATACTTGCTTATTTGGATTCAGTTCACTTATGATTTAACCAACTAGTAGTTTTAAGGTTCATGAGGTTCATGCTTGGCCTCAGATGAAAAGTAATTCCCATTCTATACTCATCCTCCAGAACTCAAGCTATTGCACATTCCCACACAAATGCTGACATTAGCCTGAAAAGCCCTTTTGACTTCTGCTGCTTTACCATCTAAAAGAAAGGCAAGTTGATCTCCATAGAGGAAGTAAGCCAGACATTAACAATAGTGGCAGGAAAAAGCAGTAATCCCAGGTACTAATACCAGTTGTGATGTTATACAAAGTGCGGGATTCCCGCACTTTGCTGCACATTAGAATCTCTTGAGGAGTCCTTGAAAAATTACTGATGCCTGGTTCCTACTCTGACATTCCAATACAATTGGTAATGTGTGTGACCTGGGCATTTAGATTTTTAAAAGCTCTCCAGGTGATTCCCAATGTACAACAAAATTTGGGAACCACTATCTTAAACACTAACTGAATGAACACAATGCATAGCTCTCACTTGTGGCATGATTTTTAAACCAAAATTCCTGGTCCCTACCCTAGACCTCCTAATCAAAATCTCTGAGGTAGGGGGTGGTCCCTGGCATGTGTATTCAAGAAGTTCCTCAAGTGATCCTAATGCCTAGCCAAAGCTGCAAAATACTATTTAAGAACTAAGGAGAAACCTGTGAAATAGGTGAAGTTTGACTTGCCAGTAGTTCTCAAATTTTAGTCTGCATCAAAAACAGCTAAAGGACTTAGTAAAACACAGGTTGCTGATCCTCTGCCACCAGGGTTTGATTCAGTAGTTATGCAATCGGGTCCTAGAATTTGTACTTTTAACAGTTTCCCACATGATGTTGATGTTGCTGGTCCCACGGGCCACAATCTGGAAACCACTGCACTAGAACTCTTTATCTAAAAGGGAGCCCAGGGTAAGCACATTACAGTTATATTAATGGGGCGGCGGCCTCACAGGCTTAATTAATGCCTCCTGTATGGATGAACAGCCAGAACCAGTTTAAGCACAAGAAACACGATATTCCCTTTGCCAGGGGTTAACCTTTGCACATAAACCACATGTAGTTCACAGATGAATGCATCAATAATATACAGTGCACTTTTTAAAGTGTGTGTGGGCAGGAGGGTAAGGCAGACTAGACTACTGGGTACCCCATTAGAGGCTGGGGACCTTTCTGGTGAGGTGGTAGCTCAGAGAACTGGGAATTTCACTCAGTAGCGTGGTGTAAGCACGATCACCACGGAGAATTGGGTTCTACTTGCAGTTTTGCCACTTTCTTTGGTGCCCTGGGGTAAATCACTGTTTTGAGCCTGTTTCCTCTTTGATAGATGATCTTGGACGTTCGTTCCAACTATGAACCATAGAGCGATCGCTGTCCAGGAATGTGTCCTGCACCTCCACCCCTTCTGACCGCGCCGCCCAGTGGCCAGCGCCGGCCCCTACCTGGCAATAAAGGCGATATAGGGGCACGGCGGCATAGGACGCCCCCAGCATGCCCACGGCGGCCGCGGCCACATACGTGAGGACCGTCTTGTTCCGCCGCCGCCAGTCCTCCTCCTGCGCTCGAGTGAAAGGGTTCGTGCTCTTCGGCCGCCGCGGCTGCTGCACGGCCCGGTCCCGAGCTCGAGGACTCGTGCGCTTCCACGTCCCGAGCCGCCTCAGCCCCCACTGGGCATCTCCTGTCTCATTCCACCTGGGCCTAAGAAACGCCTCTACCCTCTCCGCTGCCCTGGCCGGCGACCCAAGGTGGCTCCAACGCCAGCCACAGAAAACAACGCGCCCCCATGCCGGACGCCAGAGCCCTCCCATAGACCCCGGAAAGAACGCCCGCTGTTGGGGACGAGAAGTCAGTTCTCGCGGTGCCTGCTCTATCTCGCGATATCTTGGTTGAGCCTGCCGCTGCCTTGGCTACCCGGCTCCTCAGGTGGCAGCGCTTGTAGTTGGGCTACGGAGGCCGGGTTGCCAGATTATTGGTAAGTTCGCGTTTTGCTTCGTGACCGTTCCTCCCACTTTGCTTCCCTCAGTGGCTCTCTAACTTACTTTTAGGAAAACGCTGTTTTCTACTCCGCGTGCAAGCTTATCATCATTTGGAGTTGTGCCTCTGATATTTCTAAACTCTACCAGCCTTTGTCTCGACCTAGCGGCCCCGAGCGGCAGCTCTCCTGCTGTCCTTTTACCTGGAGTTCCCTGACCGCGCGCTCCTCTGTTTAACTGCCCTCGGCTTGGGCTCAGGGATCATGTCTCTCAGGAAGCCTTCCTTTGTTAACCACAGCCCTCACGGACACTCAGGTCATCTGCATTTTCTCAGCCCCTGGGCAATAGGCTCCCACTGCTCCGATGCCCCTGTACTACTTGCCCAGTGAAAATCGCCACATCTGGAGCCAGAGGGACGCTGTCAAACTGAAGTGTGGGTGGAAGACAGTGACCAGGATATGAGGGTCATTTAAGGGAAGATTGAAGGAAAAGAACCTTGTGGGAGATGTGATAGCTTTATTCAAGTAGTCCTACGGGACAAACTAGAGGAGGACAGATTGCAAAGCCGATTTTACTAGAATAGAAGGAAGCATCTTTTTAGAAACTGTAAAATAGTGGTTAAAAGCTCAGTTTCCGAGGTTGGGCAATTCTGGTTTCTTACCCTGGTCTTCACCATAGCTGTGTCCATAGGCCCGCAATTTTTACCTCTCTAAGACCTGGTGGCCTTATTTGTAAAATGGAAATCATAATAGTAAATAAGAATATGCATGATAAAGTGATTTATCATGGTGCCTGATGCATAGGAAGAATTTAGTAAAAGTTTGGCTTTATTTTTAATAGCCAGGGCAGGTGTAATTATCCACACTTTATGGATGTTGAAACTGAAGACCTGAAAAACTTTGTCATTCAACATTTATTTATTCATTATAATCTGCTGTGCGCCAGACACTGTTCAACCTGCTGGGGCTATAGCACAGAACAAGCCGAACAAAAATCTGTTTTGGAGTGTGCTTTCTACTGAGGAACTCAGGAGATTATCAAGTAACAGATACATAAATAAGGGAATTTCAGATAGCAGTGCAATGGAGACAGTGAAATAGCATAATGTGATTAAGAGTGATGAGGGGGAGGGGTAGAAAAGCTAGGTCTTTCTGAAGAGGTGGCATTTGAGTCTAGTCCTGAATAATGATAAGGAACTACCTACATAATGACTGTTCCAAGCCACGCAAAGGCCCAGGGGGAAAGAAAGAGCTAGATATGACTGAAGAACAAAAAGAAGGCCAGTGTGTTCCTAGCATAGTGAGGGAGGAGAAAAGTGGTAGGAAATGGGGTCAGAGCAGGTATACAGAGACCTGATAATACAGAGCCGTTCAAGCCATGTCCAAGGGTTTGGATTTTATCTTTAAAGTAATAGGAAGCTATTGGAGTGTTTGAAGAGTACAGGTGATATAATCTGATTCACACTTTAAAAAAAAAAAAGATATTGGTTATTTTGTGGAGAATGGATTAAAGGCAGGGGAACAAAAAATAGAACACTTAGGAGGCAGTTGCAATAAAGACTGTGAGTGATGATGGTCACCTTGAGTAAGTAATTGATTAACTTGTGGTCGCAGGCCAGAAAGTTGCAGAGCCAATAAAATCCAAGTATTTTCTCACTCCTTTCTACTCTGGCACACTGTCTCAAAAATTTCAAGCTTCTGTGATTCTACAAATTTATTCATATTGTGTCATGACATTGCTTAAAAAGCTTTTTTATAGCTTAAAAAGCTGTATATTCCTCTTTTCTTGTACCAAATTTTCGATTCTTTCAGAGGAGACCTCTCATATTTTAATTTTCTAACTGTGTACACTCAAATCCCATATAAGCATTAATGTCCTTGAAGCTAACAGTACATTTCCTCTGACTATTCAGGGTAGGTACCTCTTCCATGTAACTCTAGGTAGCTCTTCCAGGTACTCTTCCATGTAACTCTAGGTGGCAATATAAATATATATCAGTAATAGTGTCTTTGTCTTGGACTCTGTAAATGCAAAGTGTAACTATTCCCTTCCAAGGAGCATGATTTTTATAGCAATAAGGTGGTATTGGTCTTTGTAGCTTTCTACTTTAATAAAGGAAAATATTTATCATATCTGGTATTATGATAATTTAAAATAACAATTCATATTTACTGGATAGCTAAAATATTTTTAGTATTTCATTTATATGGAGAATGTATTATGTAAAACATCATTTAGTTAAATCTCCGATTAACTTTTACTTTGAAATAATTTAAATTTTTTTACATAAAAGTTGCAGAAATAATACACAAATCTATATATCCTTCACCTAGATTTTCTAGTCTTTAACATTTTTATACCATTTGAGAATAGATTGCAGACATGATATTACAGAACTATAGGCTTCATATTTAACTTGTTTATCTCCTAATTACAGGGATACTTTCTCATTCATAACCAACAGTACAGCATCAAAATCAGGAAGTTAACGTCAATCCAATATTACCATATGTAAGTCAGCTTGGGCTGCTATAACAAAATACTACAGACTGGGTTTCATAAACAACAGAAATTTATTTCTTACAGTTCTGGAGCCTGGAAAGTCTAAGATCAAGGCATCAGCTGATTGAGTTCCTGGTGATGGCTCTCCCTGGCTTGTAGCCATCTGCCATCTTGCTGTGTTCTCACATGCCTGGGAGCAGTGAGTGAACTTTCTATTGTCTCTTTTTATAAGGGCACTAATCCCATGGGATCAAGGTCCCAACCTTACGAGCTCATTTAATTTTAATTATTTCTTGATTCAACTGCAGCTACACTGGGGTTAGACCTTTAACATAGTAATTTTAGGAGACATATACATTAAGTCCTTAACACCATGTTATCAGTGGACTCTCTTTAAATCAGCAGTCTCCAACCTTTTTAGCACTATGAAGAGACCAATCTCCCAATTTTACAGTTGAGGGAACAGGCTTAGAATGATAAATTAACTTGCCCAACCTTATTCACATGGGTAGTGGCAGAGCTGGATTTTAAGCCTGGATTTTTTCCGACTCCTCGCTCCTTGCTGTTTTTACTGAATCTTGTAGAAAGCAGCTTTACGATGGACAAAAAAAACACAGCAGCTTTTCTTTTCAATATTAGGAAATATTTCTTCTACCTCAGTTAGAAATCATTATTAATATGGTTAGATGCCTATTTGTAAAATGGCACATTTTGAAGTTATTTCTAAGCTAAAACAAACAGTTTAGACAGAGTTGAACATAGGGTTGAGGTCAGAGACCAAGGTTGAAACCTGGATCCAAGGAGTTCTTATGAAAAAAAAATCTATCAATGTACATAGGCACAATAATAATGCAACATTGGGAGATGCTGAAATATAAGTTTTTCTCTAAAGCTTGAATTGAATGCATAACCTTGGGCTGCAATTCTGTTGAGTCTGAGTGTGCCTGTGATATTGCACAAATCATTGTAGTAACTAATGCCAGCCAAATAATGGGTTCTACCAGGAATGGAATCGGAGCTCTTCAGGTAAAGGCTAGTCCAACCCCATTGTGCAGGTAGAGGTGCTAATTATACACTTTAAAGATGGAAAGCAAGACTAACATTTCACACTTGATACCTTTAGTTTTCAGCATTATTCTTAAGCAGTAAATAATTACTTGTAAACTCTTTCTAGTTAGCTATGATCATGTCCAATTCTACATATCAGATAAAATAAGTTTTTTCATAAAATCCATTTTGATATTCATGAAATGTTTTCTTATCTGATTATTGGTTTTCAGGTTTTCTGAAGACCTAAATATTATAAAGATGTATTACTTTAAATTTTGGTTTGTAGTTACATTTTTTAGTATTTTAATGCATACTATAAATTAAGGAAATTGCAGCTTTAATTTTAATGTGGTAGTCACTGAACTGTATTTCCTAGCTGTCTATTTGCCTGATAAAGCTATTGGATCTATTTAGCCATCTTAAACACCTAACAATAATTCCAACAGTACTAACAACCATTTATTTGGTAGCTATTTATTATAATACCTGTACCTTAAAGAGGGAGAGTAATGTATTTGAATAAATAGTAATAACGAATTATAATTTGCTTGAGGGCTGGGTGTGGTAGCTCACATCTATAATCCTAGCTCTCTGGGAGGTGGAGGCGGGAGGATAGCTTGAGCTCTGGAGTTCCAGACCAGCCTCAGCAAGAGTGAGACTGGGTCCTACACTTGGTGTAATGCTCTGCTGTCACCATCTTGAAATTCTTCATAATTATTTAACATGGGGCCTTGCATTTTTATTTTGTTTTGGACTCTGCAGTTTAAGTAGCCAGTCCTGGTCAAGATATACATAGAGGTATATGCACAATAGTATATCCCACATGCACTGACTTTCTGACATGATTCAGGCTTAAGCACATTCCACCTATCTGGAATAAACAGGATTAAAAGCAAAGAAAACCCTAGAAAATGCCTTAGTAGGTTAAAGGTAAGAGATAAGGCAAAAGGCAAATGCTAGTCTCCTGAGACTAGTCAGGTGATGTGAAGTAAGATCAAGCAAAATTCCCAACTCTACTGGGGCCCATAAGACCCTGGGTAATCTAGACCTTGCCACTTGCTCTGACCTCATCTCCTACTGCTTTCTTCCTGTTCACTATGCCCCAGCCACACTTCTTTCTTCTCTGTAAACATCCCAAGTTTGTTTTACTGCCTTAAGACCTTTTCTGTGCTTGGAGTACTTTGTCCCTCAATTTTTTCCGTGGCCAACTTATTATTTGGGTCTTAGCTGGGACACCACTACCCAATCTAAATTAGCCGTCCTTTGCTCAGTCACATTTGATGTCACCTTTCAGTATTTGAAATATAGTTCATTCTGTTGTTTCCTTTTTTATTTTTCTCCCGCCACTAGAATGTAAATGCCACAAGAGCAGGAATCTTGGCTTGTTTACCATAATATCACAAGCACTTAGTAGAGTGCCTGCACACGATTATACTTATATAAATGAAAGCAAGCAGAAGGCACTGGAGTGGTCTAAGAAAACTTCTGAGAGCAGTGAGCTGTTGTGCTGATAAGGATCTCATGTTTCAAGAAAACTAAGACTCCTTCTTTGAAGCAGTTTTCTGGTGTTTTCCACAGGGTTGGGCTGTGTGTTACAGCCAGATGCTTGTGCATCCACCCCCAAGACAAATGAGCAGCATTCCTGAACTACTTAGATCAGGTGTCCTCAAACTTTTTAAACAGGGGGCCAGGCCAGTTCACTCTCCCTCAGACCGTTGGAGGGCCGGACTATAGTTTAAAAAAAACTATGAACAAATTCCTATGCACACCGCACATATCTTATTTTGAAGTAAAAAAACAAACGGGCAAAAACACCCGCATGTGGCCCGCGGCTGTAGTTTGAGGATGCCTGACTTAGATTCTTGAAAGGAAAAAAATGTGTTAACAAAGGGAATACTGCCTTTGGGTAGAGAATAAAGAAGATAGTAAAATACAGTTGGCCCCTCATATCCTTCAGTTCCACATCCACAGATTCAGCCAACCACACATCAAAAATGTAGTTGGGCCTGTGATGTCTGTGTCTGTACTGAACATGTATAGACTTTTTTTTTCTTGTCATCATTCCCTAAAACAGTATAGCATAACAACTATTTACATAGCATTTGCATTGTATTAGGTATTATAAGTAATCGAGACTTGACTTAAAGTATAGGGGAGGATGTACATAGGTTACATGAAAATGCTATGCCATTTTATATGAGGGATTTGAGGAGCATCCTTTGATTTTGGTATCTGCAGGGAGACCAGACCCAGTACCCCACCACCACCACACCCAATACCTAGAGAGAAGACTAGTTCTTTAAACTATTATATCTTTGTTTCCTGAATCCTTTGTCATTTTAAAAGCATCAGTTAAGTAAACTTTAGCCCAGGGAAAGGAGTCATTCCTGATATTGCCACTATTTTTAAAACAACCCTAGAATTACATAAACAGCTGATGTTATCTTGAAGAGTCTCTACTGTGATAAGTATACAAGTTGCCACAGTGTCTAAATGCTCTTATTCTTATGTTTCCTCAAATATAAAACTTAATCAATAGATCTAACTACACAAGAAATATTTACATTTTTAATATTAGCTCCAGTGAGTCAAGAAATAGTTGACTTGTGAGTCTAGTCACAGAAACCAGACAAATTATTTATTGGATAGCCAGCATCATCTTACCTTCCTCCTCTCTTGAAATAACCTTAATATGAAATGTCTTTAGACATTTTTCCTCCTCTCTGATCCCTTCTCTGAAATAATATGACTGTAGGATGCCCCAACCCATTCGTGGACCATACTGATCTTAGGGGTACATGTACATTTTAAGAAAATCGTCCCCTCAAAAAACATTAAGGGACTTGTAGTTTAATAAGCTTGGCATAAACTTTTTTATTTATAGAGCCAAAAAAGAACTTTAAAGATCATAATGAATGATTTTGTCATTGTACATATGAAGAAACCGAGGAGCCGGGTTATTAAGTGGCTGCACAAAGTCACATGGTCAGTGAGATCTAGCCTTTAGACCAATGCAATATACATCTAAATATAAAACCAGTGGCAAGGAAAATTCCAAAATTTTTCTTTTTAAACAGACCATATATGGTTAATTTCAGAAGAAAATAACATTAAATATTTTCTGTACTATGAGTTTCTTATGAGTCTTCTTTTTTTAAAATTATAACAGCAAAAGGTATGTTTTGTTTTTAATGCCTGTTAGTTGGCTTACAAGAAAGTAGTCATAAGAAGTTCTTCAAAGTGTATAAACAGTTTTCTTGGGAAACACCAGATCTATGTTGTTTTCAATTTCAAATTGCAAAATTTGTTGATACCTTAGCAAATGGAGATGAAAGAAGAAAATGACATAATGGGAAAATGACATTAAAGGAGGAGACATACCTAGAAGGGGTTAATTTTAAATACTAAATGCCAAGACAGCACACTCAAACCTAATAACTTTTTGATATTTTTCCTTCTTTATCAAAATAATATATCAGTATTTATCCTCATTGTGAACCATTCAAAAAATAAAGAATAATTTAAAGAAGGAAATAAAAATAAGAGTAAATAAAAATAATGGTAATTCCAATTATCAGTTATTGTCTTTTTACATTTTAGTATTTTTTCACAAATGTAATTTTAAAAGATGAGATTATTCTATAAAATCTATTTTTAGCCTGCTATTGTTTTTTACCCAGATTATTTTTGTTTGTTCGTTTTCTTTTTTCCCACTGGTTATAGCAGAAATATGACCTAGATTATTTTTGATGACTACATAATATTGTTTTATGTTGGTATACTATTAACCAATTATCAGTGTTTATATATTAATATGTAGTTGGTTTCTGATGTTTTATAATTATTAACTATACTATGATGGTATTCATGAACTAACAAATATTTTTATGTGTTTGCTGGATCACCCCTGGCCAACCATAGTGTTAAAATGAACTGGTGTCCTGCCTTTGATGGGCAAACCCTGGATTTGGATTTTCTACCATTACTGATATCCTGTCTCCTCCCATGCCCATTAAATGTTTTTATTCTCTCATTTTTTTTTTTTTTTTTTTTTGAGACAGAGTCTCACTTTGCTGCCCAGGCTAGAGTGAGTGCCGTGGCATCAGCCTAGCTCACAGCAACCTCAAACTCCTGGGCTCAAGCGATCCTTCTGCCTCAGCCTCCTGAGTAGCTGGGACTACAGCCACGTGCCACCTTGCCCAGCTAGTTTTTTTATATATTATATATATTATATTAATTGGCCAATTAATTTCTATTTATAGTAGAGACAGGGTCTCGCTCAGGCTCAGGCTGGTTTCGAACTCCTAAACCTCGAGCAATCCACCCGCCTCGGCCTCCCAGAGTGCTAGGATTACAGGCGTGAGCCATCATAATTATTTATTTAAATGTCCTAAATTTTACTTTTAAGGGATATTTTATAAGTCATATTTACATACCTTTCTTAGATCCCTCTGACCCTTAGCCACATCTTCATTTTGAATATAAAATTAAGGAGTGCTCTTTATGCTTTTATTGCTTCACATGGAATCTGGTTACTTTGTACAGTGTGTGAACCCACAAAAACAATTAAATCTCTCATTTATGCCCTTGGAAAGGCTAACAAACAAAAAGCCTCCTTGAGCTCTGGCTTTCTTTTGGGCCCTCTCTAAGACATTTAATCATGTGAGCCTTTGTGCTCAGTATGAGCTGAAGATCCCAGTCAGTTGATCAAGCTAATTTGGTAGATTTTCAGAGACCTCTAGATGGCCAATAGTTTCTGACAAAGCACATTTCTCATGAGCTCTTTAAAACTACTATTAGTGTTATGAAGAGACAGGGCTTAGTATTGATCCAGCAAATCTTGCCTTCATTGGTATCATGCTGTCCTTCTTTTTCCTTCTGTTATTTTTTCACTGTAGACAAACAGCTAAAACACATTAGAGTTCTTGACCTCACAGTTTGTTAAGTTCTTTGAAGTAAATATAAAAGTACTTTGGCAAGGAAGGATGGAAATTAAGCTCTTGCTTACAAAGCTGTCGGTCTATTCTAGATGTGTTATTTTAAATGTTGCAAAGATAGTTCAATAAATCGTCTAATCAGTTGTTCATAATAAAGGGGTGTGTGTGTGTGTTGAAGTGTTAAGTAGGATGCACTTGGATATAAACCAACATATCGCAGTTACACAGTTTTCAACAAAAATCTAACACATGAATTGTGCCTATTTTTTCTTCAACTGGTTTATTATTAACATTTTTAAATGAAGACATTTAATCGTATAGTGGAATTTACAGTGGGAGGGAAATTATTTTCTAGAAAACACTACGCCAAGGTTTTCAAAAACAGTTTTTGTCGTTTACTAAATGGATTTAAAAAAGGTATTAACAACAAAAAAAGATAAAATACCTAGAAATTAACTAAGTAAGAAATGTGCAAGGTTAATATGAAGGCAACTTTAAAACACTATAGCAGGTCACAAAAGAAAACGTGAACAAATGTAAAGACATCACAAGTTCTTGGATAGGAAGACTCAAAATAACATCAAGATAAATACCAATACTTCCTCAATTAATTTGTAAATTTAATTTGATTCCCTAACAAATAGCATTGTTTTGTTTTCTAAACAGGTAAGAATATTTTGAAGTTAATGTGTAAAAGTAAAGACAACCAAAACCCACCAGGGAAACTTGCTTAACAAAAGAACAGTGAGAAGGGATAGATCTTACTAGATATAAAAACATATATGATAAAGCCTCAGTAATTAAAATAGAACAACATTGCCAAGATGGGCAAAAATTCAAGTTTTGTAATATACCCTGTTGGTTAGAATTTGGAGTAACAGTAATTGGTAGAATAGTAAATTAATAAAACCCTGATTAAGGGAAATTTGGCAATTTCTATCAATTTCATTATGGCATTGTGATAATTTCATTTAATATTTACCATAATTTCTTGCAAAAGATATTTTTATCCCTTTCCATTTTATGTTTTCTATTTTTGATCTAGTAAAAATAACTATTTTTAGAAAGTATTGACTGTTTTGTCTCTGAGAATGTAAATAACTAAATCTCATTCAAATACCATATGCATTATGGACAGATGAGGTTTCTAATTATGTAGAATAAAACTGGTTTATTGAGATTGTAAGTAAAAAGATTTGTATATCAAAGTAAAGCTCCCATTTAAATTTTCTAGAATAGATTCTTCATATAAAAAAAGAATTTTTCTTTTAGTGTTCCACGTTCTGTGTTTTTGCTGACCTGTTTCTCCCTTATGACTCACCAAACTAAAAAGCAATGTATTTTTCTTGAATGTATAATTTTTTAGTGAATGAACAAAATGTTTTCCTTCTGTGTCATTCATTAATAATGTGAAGGGGGGAAGTTGTGTGAGTGTGTGTGTGTGTAACTTTATTAGAATCCCTGTTGGTTGAAGACCTTGTAAACTTGTATAAAGGAGGAAGTAGTAAACAGGCAAAGGAGAGGGAAGAGACAGGCATTTTCTGATATTTAAGGATATGACAATGAATGGATATCTCAGTCATTTAAAAAAAAAGCCTACTGCTTGGATGGGTAAGATTAAACCACTTCTGTTATTGTAAATCAATAACAATATTGTTATTGTTTAATCAATAGTGTCATCTTCATATAAAAGAGGCAGCATGTTACTATTACTATGCTCTCATTCAGCTTTTTTGGAGAATGAAGTTTCTCACATAAGTTAATTTCCCAACATACTGTAGTAGAAAAAGCTTGGGTTTGGAGCCAGGAAGAACAGAATTCAAATTCTGTTTTACCAACTAGCTTGTGACAGTAGACAAGTCACAGAGTTTCTCTATAACTCTGCTTTCATTTATGTAAAATCAGATTAATAATGCCTGCATTGTGGGGCTCTTAGAAAAATCCAGGACACTGAAAATTAGGACACTGCCAGGCATGTTAAAGTGAATGGAATAATTTAAACACTGAAAGTTTATCTTAGTACTTTAAGATAGAAATATTTTTAAATATCTTGTTAAGTATGAATCTATATGGAACCTGTTATAGAGATTTGGCATTGACTTGGATATGTTCATGGAGACCAGGAGACTCTGTGCCATTAGGACAAATCACCACTAGATGGGGATCTTATTCACTTTGGTACCAGGGGAAAGACTGCTCAGTTTTTTACATTTCCCTTTGAGCTATATATGTTACATTTCCTGCCTTAGTATCAGGAGATGCCAAGAGGTTAGGTAATTTTTTTAAGGCCATGTGACTAACACATAGAAGTTGTGCCATTTAAACTTAGCTTTTTTTTTTTTTTTTTTTGCTTATGTCTAGCACATTTTTGACAATATTAAATAAGTACATTTGGAGTACATAGTGTGTGACACGTAGTGCCAATTAATGGTAGTTGCTATTATTATTGCTATATCAAAATTACATCTCTTGAGGTTTGAGGATCTGCCTCATGCATGGATTATTAAACCAATCTATAATAGACTTATGCAAAAGAATTGAACTCTTCCATGGCTATATATCTTGTGGACTACTACAGTTGCTCCTGACTCTGAGTCATGACACAGCCCTACGATTTGAAGCTCCTCCTCTCAAGTCACTGCTCTTGTCCTGATGGAATATTGAGTAATTTTCTTGCTTGATGGCGATTGGACCTTTGCTGCTGACAGTGTTGTTGCTCGATGGCTTCATTTCTCTGGTTGCTATTGATCTGCACGCTTCCACTGTTCCTGTTGCTTGCCACTACAGGCGCTGTGAAAGTTTGGTTTGGTTTGGTGGGGTTTTGTTTTGTTTTGTTTTGTTTTGTTTTGTTTTGTTTTGTTTTTGAGACAGGATCTGTCTCACTCTGTTGCCAAAGCTGGAATGCAGGGTAGCCCAATCATAGCTCACTGTAACCTTGAATTCCTGAGCTCAAGCAGTGAAATGTGTTTTTAATACCCAGGCCAGTGAGCACAACTCTGTGTTGGTGGGCTCTCTGTTTGGGGTCCTTTCAATTCATTTACAGAAGAATCTATGATTTCTTTTGCATACAATGGTTAGGGAAGAAATAGGATGATCCTCTTGATTTTAGTCCTCTGCCTCAGTTTTATTCTTCCTACAACCTTAGGTTTTTGAGTCATGGATCTCTCTGGGATTCTGCAGCATGGGTTCCTCCTACATCTCTATCTTAGGCCAGAATTTGTTGTGAATCAGTTGCAGGTGTGCTGGTGTGCTGATTCCACTAAGCTTCTCAAAGGATATCAGATACTCTCTTTACCCTAGTACACCATATAAATATTACCATTTTGTATGTGTGTGCTCAAGCTTAAAAATATTTAAGAAGCTTCTCACCATCCATGGAATGAAAACATATATATATTTAAGAAGCACTCACTACCCTAGGTTTCAGCTTCTTCAATCCACTTTCATCAATTATCAATGTACCATTTATTTTTTTATCTTCCAGACACTGGTTGAAAATTTTCATCTGATGGCTATTTTCCCATTTATACTTCAACATTCTGAATTATATTGTTTGTAACCCTTTATTCTCATATTAGTGATCTCTTGGGGAAAAAAGATGCATGCCAAGGTCAAGATGCCATTTTTAAATGAAAATCAGGATTTTAAAAAATTTCTTAAGGTATAATTGATTTACAACAAACAAACAGAAGATATTTAAAATGAGACAATGTGGTAAGTTTCATATGTGTATCCATTTGTGAAACCATCACTACAATCAAGGTACCTACTGTACCTATGAAGAAACTGAAACTTAGAGAAACCCAAAAGCTCAAGTTGGAACCCAGGTCTATAAGGTCCCAAAATCCATCTTGGGAGCTAGAAAGCCTGAGTTCTATCTGGGAAAATAACCACAAACTATTTCTCATCTGTATGGCAAAAGCACACAATCTCTAAATGTAAACTACTCATTTCTCCAGTAGGAAGAAATCATTGTACCAAATGACCCTAATGTCTTTTTCAACTTTAAGTTCCTTTGCTTCATTCACATTTCTTATACAGAGTTGGTAAATCTCTGTTCAAATATAGTTTGTCTTAACTAAATGAAACTGTACAGTTCTCTGTAATTTTCACAGTGGAACTATACAAGAAATTAAAATTGTATCTTTTTTCTCATAGGAAAGTGTTTAAGAAGCTTGTGGAATAATGTGAGTCAGAGTAATATAGGATCAGCAAGAAGTCCCTCAAGACAGTTGGTGAGACAATAAGAATTTTGTTTTCTTCAAGTGTATTGTATAATTATTTTTCTGACTATAACTTCATAGTCTCGTGCTCAGAAGAGACATTTTCTTCTGTCTTTAATTATATGATTTTTAAGCTTACCAGTCCTGGAAGCTGTAATAGTTACCTAAAGCCTAGCTATATTCTTTACTTTTGCCAGAAAATTAAGATTTTATATAGATATAGATATTCATAATGATCTAGATATAGACCTATCTATCTAAAGAGCTGTCTTTTCACTTCTCAGATGTTATCTTCAATGACTAAAGTGCCATAGCCCAAAATATATCATACATCTAACATCTATACACAGATATGTATTATTTATGTGCTAAGGGTATATAATGTTTTTATGCAAAGTTGGAGTCAAATTTGACTGTTCTGAGACCTGACAATTTATTTTCTACTTCTCCAATCTTAGGAAAAGAAGAATTTCTAGACTTTTCATCAAGACCTTCATTTATACAGCTGTTAAATCCAAGGCCACTGTGGTGAAAACATGTATAAAAATACATCTGCTGTAATATCATCCAGTCTACTTGAAAAGTAATTTTTAAATTAAATGTCTGGAAATATCATAGTTTAAAATATGTAGATTATTAATGAATATTTGTTTGAAGTTTTTTATAGTTAGCTGTCTAATGTAGTCTAGGATGGCAATAATGACTAAAGTAATACATTAAACTACCTTTCAGTGTACATCAATATCTGGGACAAAATCTATATTCTCTATAAAGTCATTTCTAGAGATTGCTTTTTTAAAATATTTGATTTTTGAATATCTAAAATATCTTATTATTCTAGTATAAACATTATGTAATATAAGATTAGCTCTTGCTAACTAACAAACCACCCCAAATTGCCTTAAAACATTAAGTTTTTATTCTTTCTCATGATTCTGAGTGTTGGTTGAACATTTCTGGTCTTAACCAGTAAGATAGCTTCATTTACATGTTCTGAGGTCTCAAGTAGGAAGGCTGGATGGCTGAGGTTTCTTTAGACCTAGTCCATTCAGGAGGTAAACTCAGGCTTTTTCATGTGGTGGCAGATTATTCCCAGCAGTAAGCACATGTGTTTTTCAAATGTCTATTTTTCTCACATTTGCTGGTATCCCATTGGCCAGAGCAGTTCAAATATCCAAGTCCAAATTCAATGAATGTAAATACAGACTTTATTTTTAGTGAAAGGGAGTAGTAAAGTCACATTGCCAGGGAATGTGCAGACAGGGATGGGAAGAATTGGTGGCCATTTTATAAACATACATTTAACAAGATATATTCAGAGAAATCTTACTTTCATTCTTGTCCTTCGCTTTATGCCCTTATTCCTCCTATACAAGGTCATTTATTCTTGATTCTTTTTAGTGTATCTTTTGTATAAACAAATGCATATATGTAAATATATATATATAATATATATATATATGCAGATAATAATTGTATATATTTGGATTCCACTCCCCAGAATGCTCTTAAGTAAAAGGTGTCATATTATATATACCATTTTGACCTTGCCTTTTTGTCTTGACTTAAAATTATATCATGGTGATCACTTCATATCAGTTTATAAAGATCTTCCTTGTTATAACTGCATAGATGTACCAGTTTATTCATCCAGTATCTTATTGAGGGACATTTGGATTGTTTGCAATTATTGATGAATACAAATTATGCCAAAGTGAATAACCTTTTATATAAGTCATTTTGTATTTTTTGCCAGAGTGTCTTTGGGATATATTCCTATAAATGGAATTGCTGGTTCAGAGGGTAGTTTTTTGTTAGAGATTACCAATTCTCCCTTTGGAAGTTGTACCATTTTGTATCTCCACCAGCAATGTACAAAAGTGCCTTTTTTCCCACAACTTTGTCATTAGAGTATCTTGTTGAGGTTTTAAATTTTTATTGATCTGATAGGTGAGTAGTAGTATCTCTACATAGTTTTAACTTGTAGTTCTCTTCTTATGATTAAAGTTGAGCAGGAGAACTATTTTTAATAGCAAAAGAAAAGAGTATGTAATCTAAATTCTTAACAATAGGGGAATTTTAAAATAAGATCCTAGCCATGTGTATAAATTTTATGTTGGCATTGAAATTTATGTTTAAGAAGAACTTTTATGTAGATATTGCTTATAATAATTATGGGTAAAAAGGATCTAAAAGTGTTTATATATTAATAGTATAATACCTATTCAGAAAAAAAACAATATAGATAGTTTTATAGAAAAAAAGATTAGAAGTAAGTACACTACTGTGTTAATAAAAGATACTTTGTTGGGATTAGAAAAGAGGGCTCCTTTACTGACTATGCTGGAGATTGTGTGTGCCCCCATTGAGGGAAATTCACATTTGGGGGGTTTAAGAGGTTACTGGAGAGATCTGCTTATGAGGTACCTTAGTTCCCTTTCTCTCCTTCATCTTTGCCATTCCTAGGCTTCATTCCTTTATGCTTTTGCAACCTAATATCCCATAAAGAATGGTTTGGGGTACTAAAATTCCTGTCAGTAGACAGGACCCAGTCTTCTCTGCCTTTTTTCTAGCTAATTGACTATTGCCCTGGTGACCATATAGGCCTTCCAACATAGCTGAATTCAGTATGCCTGTAATGCGACACTGAATGATGTGCTATATAGACAGTGAAACAATCGAAAACAGAGAGTTTTGTAAATTTTTAAAAATTCCTTTCATTCTTCTATTTTTAATTATTTAACTTTTGGATGCAACAGTTTTCTTAAAGATACATTTAGAATGTATATGGCAGAAGCTAAGAAAGCCTCATCTAAAAGCTATATAATCATATATAAAATAACTCTTTTTTATTCTTTTCTCTTTTTTTTTTGAGACAGAGTCTCTCTTTGTTGCCCAGGCTAGAGTGAGTGCCAGGCATCAGCCTAGCTCACAGCAACCCCAAACTCCTGGGCTCAAGCAATCCTGTTGCCTTAGCCTCCCAAGTAGCTGGTACTACAGGCACATGCCACCATGCCCGGCTAATTTTTTCTATATATATCAGTTGGCCAATTAAATTTTTTCTATTTATAGTAGAAACGGGGTCTGGCTCTTGCTCAGGCTGGTTTCGAACTCCTGACCTCAAGCAATCCACCCGCCTTAGCCTCCCAGAGTGTTAGGATTACAGGTGTGAGCCACCACGCCCGGCCAGTAACTCTTTTTTAAATAGTAGAAGATAGCTAGAAGACCTGTATTCAACAATGGCTTTAATATACCAACAAAGCAGATCTCATATCACATTTTGCCTCTGAAAGTAGGACAGATGGGGCTTACACTTGGGCCACCAAGTTAACCTGCCTGGATTTTGAGGCTTTTAGAAAAATGAGGAGAAGAACCTTAAAGATTATATAAATATTAAATTAAATGGCATAATGTGTGTATATTGATTACTTAGTACAATATCCAGGAAATAATAAGTGAGCAGGCAGACCTAAAACTTACTTCAGACTTATTCAAGTAAAGTCTCTGCTCTGACCAGTGTGTTCAGAAATGCAACTTAGGGGGCATAATTTCTTTTTTTGAGATTCATATGAAATTTGAATTGCTTTAAAAGACCACAAACATGTCTTTTAAAGTCACTTACTTTATTCACTAAAATATTTAGTTTGGGAATATTTCAATGTCTTCTAAGAATCAGCTAAAAGCAAATCTCTTCAGTCACCTTTAATATATCTTCAAATTTACTTAAGTAATATTTTCAAAGTACTTTTCTTTGTTCTACTCCAAAGAAATAAGAATTATTGCTATAAATTATTTTATGTTTCGGTTGTTTTGTAGAGAAAATTAAAAATATAGGTAAGGCAATCCATTTGATTGCTTTTATGTCACCATACTTTTGTAGCTGCTAGTCGTTACTAAGTATTTTGGGTTTCTAGATCTAAGAATTTGATTTAACAAGTAGTTTAAAGGAAAGAAGTAGGTACAGATCTCTAGCCTATTAACCTGTGAATGCTAATATACTTTATTTTAGAGATCCTGCCTTTCAGATGATTACAATTACCAAGGAAACAGGCCTTGGTCTGAAGATCCTAGGAGGAATTAACCGGAATGAAGGCCCATTGGTATATATTCAGGAAATCATTCCTGGAGGAGACTGCTATAAGGTAAAAAATGAAAGTATAAATAACCTCCCACCACCAGGACCACCAAGAAACAAAAACAAAAAACCCACCATTGATAAGGTTTATTTTCCTACTTTATCAGTGAATATATAATATTAACTGAATGTCCGCTGTGACCATACCTCAGTGAATGATAAAAAGGACTAGAAGATAGACCATTAACCTAAGAGATGAATAAGTTCACATATGAAGTTAACAGATATTTCAGGCTCTAACTAAAGATTATATATTTTTAAATTATATGCTGTTCAACTGTTATCCTATATCTGGTTGAGAAAAGTTATATTTGAAGACATGTTATCTATGCACTTCTCTGAGTTTTGGTTAGTTGGGTTAGTTGAACTTGAACTACATTCATTTAGCATCTCCTATGGATTCCTATGCTGTGAATCCACCCACAACATGAAAATTTTGTGCAGATTAGAAACTAACATGATATAATAGTTTTTAAAACAAAGTAAATGATGCAAAACAAACAAACAAAAACAAACAAAATTTACTCATTTCTAAATTTGTAGTAGTAATTTGTGTTGAGTTTGTTAATTATGTCACTCATAAGCTGCCCACATGAGAAATTAGATTTAGGGTCCACATGAGAAATTAAATATAGAATTAAGACCAGAAAATATCTTTTTGAAAGGAATTAGAAAGTCTTACTCTCTTCTTCAATTTAAGAAATATGTTATATAATGAGTTACTTTTTGCTCTGGTTGCTAGGAAGCTCAGACCCAAATTTGAATTATAACCCCAGCAGTTTAATGAACTGGTTCCTATATTTGCTTAATCATTTCTCTTGGATTTCATTTGCTATTTCTGTTTTACGAATGTGATTATATCTCATTTGTTAGAAATTTCCTCTACTTCTTTTTGGGAGAGATAGAGGATGAAGAGAATTTAGTAAAATATTCTATTAATAAAAAGCTATATAGCATTAGAAAGGGTCCTCTTATTGTTAAGCTTATTCTTGTCATTTTGGTTAAATAAATAGAACTACTCTTACCTCCACCCACCCCGCAAACACTTGTTTAGTGAATAGTTTATCTATTCATCTGGATTTTTTTTCTTCTTAGGAAAAATCAGTTTCACCAGTAACTTTAAAAATAGTTATGATTTCAATTGTTTCAGGCTTGTTCACCCCAGATAATAAGGCATCTTCCAAATATACTTTCCAAGTTCTAAGTATTAATTTTAGGATGCTATAATGATTTAAATTTTATCTATTAAATTTAAATTATTAACTAAATAAGAATACATTTCAATGGTAAGTTTAAACAAATTCAAATAAACAAAAATGAATTTTCTCTTCTAAGAATTGAGATTTCTGCCTGTTTTCCCTACATTATTAGCAACAAAAGAAAGAAACAAAAACATCTAAGAACTTCAAAGCGTTGAAGTTCTTTACTTTTAAAGCTGGGGGGATGTGTGTTCAGTATAGCTAAGGTGTTTCTTAGACTACACTGGATATAATGCAATAATAGACCAAGATACCTAACAAGTGATAAGAATTTGTTTTTAAGACAAGTATCAATTTGTGTTTATTTATTGTCATGAAAAATATTTGTAGTTAGAATAATAAATTAGTGGCAATGGTTCTGAATTGTTCTTTATCTTCTGTTGATGATAAGAGACTAAGAAATTATACTTATAATACATACTTTTCTTGTTGGTTTTTTTTAGAATTTCATTGAGAAGAGTATTAAGAAGCAAAACCTTCTAATGGACTATAATCTCTATTTACCACTAGGGAGCAGCACAGAGTTATTAATGTTCTTTGACTGCACCTGGTCCTGTCCAACATAAGAAAACAGCCAAAAAGAGAAAGGTGTAGGAGAAAAAGAAGTAATTTTCCAGTGCTTATATTTATTTTTGAACATTTCCTCAAGATGGAGAGCTACATGCATATTTATTTTGCAAATATAAAATGGATGTAATTTTATTTTAAATAATTTATTAATAATCATTTACTTTGTTTTAAAAACTATTATATCATGTTAATAAGTTTCTAATCTGCACAAAATTTTCATGTAGTGGGTGGATTCATAGCATAGGAATCCATAGCATAGGAAACACAGGTGCATAAGATTGTCCATAATTAAGTTACTGAACTGAGTACTGCTAATATTTTTCAAATACATTTGAGTGCTTTACCTTCCTATAATTTTGTTTTAATATTATGATATTTCAGAATTGAGCAATATCAAGCTTGTAGCTGTATTATATTTAATTTATATTTCCAAACCTCTCAAACTATGAGCGAGTTATTGGAACTCAGAAGTAATTTTCTTTACATAATCATGGTTAGCCACTACCCACCCTAAATGTTTTCTTCCTGGCAAATATAAGAATACAATACTTGTTCAGTAGAACCAAAATACCATATTTCTTTGAAAATCATATTCAGAGTTCAAATTTGGGATATCTTGAACACATTTTTTCAGTTCAAGAAAAAAGAAGATTCTTCCAGGTCTAAGAGCTAGGGCAATCATAAGTCAAAAATATATATGCTAGGTACTGAGGTAAGGAGAATTAATTCCAAGGCCCTTTTATCCTTGGGCCAGCTAGTCCTTTATCAGTCGAGAGTCCTCATCATTCAAAACTAGACCTTTTTCTGGCTTAGACACTCCTTTGAGTTTCATACCCACATACTCATTTCCCTGATTAATATTTCCATTTTGATCTCTTAAAGGTATCTCAGACTTAACATTTCTAAGGCAGAACCCATGACATTCACCTCATACCCTCATCTGCTAATCTCTTCCCAAACAGGGCCTCTTCCAGTATACCCAATCTTGGTGAATGGCAACTTCCAGCTATACAAAGTTAGAAAAACCTAACAGCTTCCTAACTACTTCTTCTGCCATAACAATATCCAATTCATTAACATATGCTTTTGACTTTTTTACTCTCTAAATCTCTTGAGCCTGTCAATCTTCTTGATCTCCATTCTCATCAGCATAGTTTAAATTATCATTAGTTTTTATCAGCCCTCCCAATAGCTTTGTCTGCTCTTATACACCATGTCTGTTTCCCTCCCAACCTGTCTTACTAATACTTGGTTGTCTACAAATTTCTATGAAGTATGGCTTCTGCCTCTCTGGCTTTCCATCACTATGCTTCCAGAGGGGATTCTTCCAGTTCCTGGAAGGGACCAGTTTCTTTCTTATATGCTGTTCTCTTAGATTGGGAACAGCATCCCCTGCCCAGTCATCCATTACTTTCAGATATCAATTCAAAGACCACTTCCTAAGAGTTGTATTCCTTGTTCCCCCCCATTCTAAGCCAAGTTTTATTTTTCCTGTATGTGCTCCTGGATGCTGTTCCTTTCCTTCATATCACCTATCTCAGTTTGTAATGATACATCGATATTTATGATTGTTTTATGAACTCTGCCTGCACCACAAGACAGTATGTTTCTTAAAGGCAAGTATACTGTCTTATTTTATTCACAATAATATGTTTAGTCCCCAGTATAGTCCCTAACACATTAATTGCTCAATTAATATTTATGAATGAATGGTCGCTTATATATTCTGTCACATTTCTGAGGATTACTGATCTGCCTATTTACCATTCTACTGCCACCATGTGGGCTCCACACCAAAGTACCTCTCCTCCTTGACCCTTTGTAGCAGATTCTGGACAACGCTTTGAAGTTCTTAGATGTTTTTGTTTCTTTCTTTTGTTGCTAATAATGTAGGGAAAACAGGCAGAAATCAAAAGTTTCTCCTCAAACCTGATATCATTTTTCATATTTCCTTTAGCTGATTCTAAGACACACATATTAAAACATATACATATAAGCTATACATATACATATATAATGCATATATGTAGTATACTTCTGAGTATGTGTATGTGCATTTTTTCCTCTTATATCTCTGAAATTGTGAGCTGTTTCACAATTAATGTCATAGTGTAATTGGAAACATTTTTTTTATCTTAGTGCTATGTAAAATAATGTTGTCTACCTACAAATAGTGGCAGCTTAGATTTGATAAATTCAGGATTTTTTTTTTAGTCAAGCCCTATAGGTAGAGACAATGATCACACAGATGCAGCTGCTAATTTTTAGTCATTGTTCACAAAGGATTGAATTAGGGCATATTTAACTTTCAGAAGAAATCAGTTTTCAGGATATGCTGAGCATACCATTGGAATGGGAGCCAGGGCTTTTAGGTAAATAGTAGGATCAGGCCTCTGGCAAAGTATGAAGAAACCAGTCCCATTGGCGGGAGCTGAAGGAGTAGCAGCCAAGGTGATTTGCTTTGCAGTGTCACTCTCTTTACTCCTTTTCCGTTATTATTTCTGTCATTGCTACCTTAACTTCCTCAGACTGTTTCTTGGACCTTATGAAGTTATTGTGGACTTACTGTGTACCCAGCACTATGCCAGGGAAACAACCATGAAAAGGACGTGATTCTTGCCAACTGGTAGAATCAGTGCTCCTAGTTTGGAACTTGCTGAATTAATATGCTGTAATGCAGGGGTAGGGAGGGGAGGATATGTAAACAAATAAGGACAGGACAAAGTAAGTGTAATCATATGCGTAAGTAAAAGTGCTTTTTGAGCAAAGAGAAAGGAACAATTAAATAAATCCTGGAGAGTGGGAGAAAACTTGCAGCAGACATAGTGTTCGAGTTTGGCTTTGAAGTTTAAATCAGAGTTCATCACAGAGCAGTGGGAGAGTGAATGGTAGCATTCTAGATAGGAGTTGTTATGTGTCAAAGCATTGAGGTTGGAAGGATCATGTAGTTTGTGGTTTGAGGAACATTCTCTGAGAATAGAATGAAGATTTTATATGCTGGGGTGAAAGGTGGATGATGAGGCTACAAAAAGTAGTTTGCAGTGAATTTGTTGTGCTAGGTTTGGAAAGTCAATTTTTTCCTTTCAGCAGACAGCCATAAAGGGCTCTCAATTTGAGGAGTAACACAATTAAATTTGCTATCAGTGTGAAAATTGTCCACAACAGATATGGAAGTCTGATTCCCCTCATCTTATTTAACACCTACAATGTGCTATAATTTACATATGTTATTTGATTCTTATAGCAACCTTGTGTTATAGATATGTATCTTCACTTTACAGCTGAAACAAAATGGAGTTTTGTAGGGTTAAATAGCTTTCCTGACTTCATAATAATAACTGGAATTCAAAGAAGGATGCCTTCAGTCTACAGCTTGTTAAAGTATGGGAAAGGAATCTGAAAGCTTGTAGAGGAGCATTCCTTAGTATTTAGGAATAATGAATTAGTTAAATCAGATCAGCCTTTATTCTTTATAAATGGTTTTTGGTAATATGATAATATGTTATTTAGAAAACTGTATACTAAAGTCATAATCAGAAATTAACAGTACTGGTAGTTTTTAACGGAAGTGTTTAAGTGGTCAGGAATACATTATTATTTCAACGTCTACATGAATGTCAATGTGAAAAAATTTAGACTCTGAAGTTCAACTTGTGAAAGTGCTTGGCATATTGCCTGCCATGTCGTGTAGTTGCTCAGTAACTGCTGAATTGGAATCTAGACTGGGGAAGAGGTCTCAGCATATCCCTCAAGTTAGTATCTTCACATATACATTAATCCAGCTGGGGCAGAATTCACTCATTTAGAATGCCAGACTTTTACGGAAATAGCTTTGTTTTCATTTGCAGGTTCTAGCTTTTAAACAGGTTCAGAAATTCACTAATCAGCTAAGATCTTAGTCTAGGAGGAAAAGGAAAAACTAACTACTGTGAATACTTTTTAGAAAGAAAAAAATATATAAACACCAGAAGTCACAGTCAGAAGGCATTCTTCTTCTCTTTGACTCTTGCCCTGCTGGAATATGCTGCTTCAATACATCAGTGTACTTTAATACAAGATAGGTTAAATTGCCTTCATGCAAGCTTTTCCTCTGTGTTGCTAACACTGCATATCCTGAAAGGAGAATGTGGGAGGCAGTAGGTCAGCCTAAAACTCTGTTGCCTACCTTTATTTTCTGTAGCCTTTTTCTCCACAACCCTGACAACGGATTTCTATGAGACACATGGATACCGAAGCTACCTCCACACAGTTTAGAATTTAGTTCTCAGTTCCTTATGGACCAGATTATATGCCTCCCCCATCCCCTTTTCTAATTCTTGTTGTTTATGAAGCTCTAGCTAGAAGTTGTAGAGATCAAATCCAAATTCAAGTTTATCTGGTTGCCAAACCCCATGCTCTTTCCTCTTCGGTCCATTGCCACTGAAGGCTCCTGCCCAAATGAAAGACAGCTGCCATCTGACTTATAATCACCATTATAGAATTTTCCTTTCTAAAGGAAATTTAATAAAGGGAAGGAACTGTTTTACATTTACATTAAAACATAATAACCTGATGTTTACTGTCTACCAGCACAATTCTGAAAGAAACTCTTTCCTTGTCGGTATCCTTTAAATGCTTTGCTGTAAAGGTTCAGAGCTTTATTTTTCCCTTTTTTCCCCCTAAATTATTTTCTGTTTGGGGAATACAAGTTGTTAGTGTAGTCATTAAATTTCAGTTAAAATCTACTGTATTAAACTATGCCTAGTAAAGAATTACTTTGCAGATTCCAAATGGTTGGCTTAGAGCTGGATTTAACAATGACAGACATTTATTTATTTTAAAAATTAGATTTAAAAATTCTCTATTTATTACAACTCATGATGACTTCTGAGAGAAAAAAAAAAAATTCTCTATTTAACTCTTACTTCCAATACCAATTCTGTAATATAGACCCAAAATATAATTCAGCTAGTTAGGTACATTGATGAGACAAACTGCATGAACTTCTTTATTTGGGATGGAGAAATTTTTTCCTTTTTTTTATAATGTTATATTTGACACAGACAAAAGGATTTTGGAATATATGTCTAACTTATGAAACATAATAAAATAAACACATGTGAATCCATTTAGAGTATAATAAGAAATACAAAATTTAATTTATATCGAGGATTCCTATGTGCTTTTCCTTGGTTACATTAGCCCCATGTTATACTTCTCCCAGAACTAAGCCTTCTATAGAATTTTGTGTTTATTCTTCCCTTTTATTAGCCTTATCTTTTTTCCTGTGGCAAAGAGGTTGTTTTCCTTTCTTTGTTACCATTTCACCTTAACCTTGACTGAATGTCCTCAAACTAAAATTTAGCACATTAAATTACAAGCTAAAGTATATAAGTATTTGGGTATAGTCTGGGTATAATTGATTTAAATGCATATGTAATGAAACTCTAATAAGATTTGGGCCTAGCCAATACAGAACTGTGTTTACAAAATCTTACAAAATCAGGGCTTCTGTTTTATTGAACTTGTAGGATACATATGGTAGATACTTGCTTGATATACTTAGTCTTTTCTATCATTACTATTATATATTTCTCTCCATATATTTATTAAATATAAGAAAATCACTTTTGAATATTGCTATTGTGTATGATGTGTTTTGTTTTCTGACTTTGATAGTTATATTTAATCACATATTTATAAAATCCAAATTGGTTTTCAAATTTTCAATATCTTAAAATTGAATAGCCTCTTTCAGTTTAAGTTCTTTTAGTAATGTTTACATTTTAGAAGAATCATGAGGTCATTATGCATTTAGACTAAATAATCTCTTATACAGTATTTGAAATAATATGTTCCTATAAAATCCTTTGATGAATATTTTATATTTATATAATTGTTTTCCTGTGTATTCTCTAGTGAGTGGGAAAGATCACGCTACATGTCTTTTTTAAAAAATAGTATTTTACATAGGAGTAAAATAATCAAAAATCACCATTATTACAAATAATACAGTTTAGATCAAAGATCAATTATCCAAGGTATATATTTTAGTAGATAACACTTTAAAGAAAGATACTTCCTTAAATTTGTGAGAGTTGCTTAACTACCATCAAGGTGAAAATTTACCTTTTAACCATGTAAGCTTTTTCTATAGTTAATAGAAATAATGTTTTCTGCCATAGAGATGTATCTTAGGAACTGAAAAAGAAGAAAGCTTATTCTTCTTTTCAAGTTTGAATTAAGAGAAGATAAATAAAAACTGAGAAACTTGCTTAACAACTACATTAAATCTTATAACTGATATGCTCTATCTTATTCACTTAGGCTAGTTATGAATAGAGCTAGGACTTAGCAAAGACAATGCCAGGAAGTTAGAATTGGTCATTATTAGCAGGACTTGGCTAACACTATATGCACAGCCAAATAGGCTTTACTCACAGGAGAGATATCAGATCTAGAAAAAAAGATGTTAGATTGTGAGCTGAAATATGGGTAGGATCAATATAATAAGGATCCTTGACTAAATTTTTAAAAATGTAAATGTGTGATAAATCCACATTGAACAGTTTGTTGGGAAGAAAGATGCAGGAATGCTTAGAAACTAAAGTGAATGAGTATTGTATTCCAAAATACCCAGAATTATTTGGCCTCCTTTATCACAGAGTCAGAGCTTTAGCGGTTCCATAGTGCTGAGTCTTTAAAACGAGTCTCTTTTACCTGATGTACTGGCCTATATTGTCCTAATATATTCAGGATTCCTTTGCATGCATGTTTACTCATGTAGTACCTGAACCATTCAGTTTTACTCCTGTACATTACCAAACCAGGCCTTAATCAAAACATTTTGCTGTTGAGGTTCTCGAAGATTTTTTACTTTTTCTTTAAGACTTTCTTCATAAAATCTTTTCATTGTTTTAGTTGCATCAATCAATTCTTTTGAAAAGTACCTCGTTGGTTTCTTTATAAATGTTACTGTTTTTGTCAGGATGGTCGTTTGAAGCCAGGAGATCAACTTGTCACAGTAAACAAGGAATCTATGATTGGTGTATCATTTGAAGAAGCAAAAAGGATAATTAGCAGAGCCAAGTTGAGGTAACTATCCTATCCACAAGATAGAATGAGTCATTTAGCATGACTCTTTAAAAATAGTAATTTAAGATGTCTTAAGTACTTTAGACTATAAGCAATATTTTTTAATATGATTGGAAACATTTCTTAGAATTCATTTGTACCATATTCATAGCATATCCATAAAGTGATTTCTTTTTAATACTAGGTCAGAATCTGCTTGGGAGATAGCATTCAGAAGACAAAAATCTGACAACAATCACCCAGAAAAGCTTTCGTGTACATCCCTTTTAGAAGCTTCAGGAGAATATGGACCTCAAGCCTCAACATTTAGTCTTCTTTCTTCTCCCCCTGAAATACTAATTCCAAAGACCTCATCTACTCCCAAAATTAATGATGCAGCTTTACCTTCTTATAAGATAAGTCAGGTAATCTTAAATTTCTCTGTTTATATATATAGTCCATAAATCCCATATCTTTTTATGTTTGTTAATTACATATAGAATTATGATTTCAGTAATATCTTTGTGAACAAAGTAGTTGTGTTTCCTTAAAAGATTTTTTTCTTTTTTTCTACTTAACATTTTATGTTCTGTTGTCAATAACGTAATTTCTTAAAGTCAGTGTCTCATGTCCAGAAGCATATCAGAGAATATCAGCATAACAAAATGGTACCACAAAAATATGCATAGCTATCACTCAAAGCTATGTTAAGAATGTCATATTTAGTTTCAGTCTCTAATATGGACCAGTAATTATCATTTTTGTTTTCTGCTTGACTGAAGTCAGGCAATCTTCCTTTTACTTCCTTAGTTTCTTTTCTGCACAGTGACGCTAATCCTAATCATCCAACCAAGGTGGCTATTGCTCCCTCACATGTGCATGCTAGAATACAGTTCATCCTAGTCAAATCATACAAAATAGAGAATTTCTATGTCAAAATTAATACAATAATTTACTAACTGCTACAATGTCCTAACAAATGATAGTTACAAGACAGAACATATATTCTTTAAATCTATGTTGGCTATAAATAAGAAATATAGGTAGGCTTTCAGTCAGTAGACTAAAATTTGTCTAAAGTAACTTCAGTTTCAGGTACATGCTGATCAGAGGCAGAGTATAAGATTTTCTGTCAGCCTCTTCTACTTTGTCATTTGGAATTACAATAGCTTTTAAAAGACAAGGTGCATGGCCTTGTATTTTGTTATCCTTGGACATTGTTACCTTTAAGTCTGAATTGCTTTATTTGAAGATGAATATACCAAAATTTTAGAGGTTTCATATTTTTTGGAATATTCCTTTAATCTCTTTAACCATTGCTTTCATGTTAACATGAGCTTCCAGTCTGGTCTTTGACCTACTTTAGAAAATGACATTGCATGTTCTTCATTTTCTTTCACAGATAAAAACTGGATACAACAAAACAGAACAGACTCCAATTACTTCTTCAGACAACAGCACTACGGATATGTCTAATACAGGTAAATGCACATTTAATTCCTCTTTCCTGTTATTTTTTTCAATTACTCTCTCAGTGAGGAGTGCATGATGTAACTTAATAGACTTTAGAGAAGGGTGTATTATATCTTTTTTCCTTTAATGAATGAAAGAGCAAAATTAATGTATTGTCCAATGGTCCCTGTTAGATTATGACTTGAATTGGAAATTTTGCTGACCAAAGAATTGAAATTTTAAAAGATACATTATCTAACATTGTTTATGAAGCTATGATAACTAATGAATTTTTGAAATCAAATAATGAAAAGTCTTCTATAAATTAAGATTAGGTTACCTTGTCCTTGTAGTGAAATACTGATGAGGTGTATTAAGTGCACCTCCAGAAAACACATTATGGAAGGAAGCATAGCTTAAGAAAAGAAATATGTTTTGGTTTTTTTAGAAGAAATCATGTGGATATATATTAGAAAGGACATCAATATTGTGAATTCATTGTTATTGATTCTTAATTACCATAAAATGATTTATTGACTTTTTAAAACAATAAAGCATTAATTCTCTAAGCTACCCATAAACAAAACTGATTTTTTTTATCAGGCTGTAATGTGCCTTATTGTCTCAAATATCAAGAAAAAATATCTCTCCCCTGAAATTATCACCAGAAGTTAAACACAACAACTATCAAAAAAACTATACTTGACATAAATGAAAAGCTAATTACATGTGGCTAAATTATAGTGCAAATTGTTAACTGTGCATTTTAATTTTTAATAGCATTATTTACATAAGAATTGAAAAATAAGGAAGAGTTAATTGAAATTAAATAGCTACCAAACTTTACAGGAATTTATACTAGATTCTATAGTAGTTTACTCTGCTGTGGGGCATTTATTTACCAGTGAGTTAGTAGCAACCTTTAGCCATAAGTTATATGCTTTTTATTTAATGAGATTTAGAAACTTTATTAGCATTCTTCCCTTTACATAATTAATTTCCAGTCTTTTGATATACTGTATTCAATTTAAACTGAGAACCCATGTGAGAAAAAAAAAGATAGGTGAATGAAGCAATTGTGAGGAGATAAAGATCAAAGTTGCTAGATAACAAAAGTCAAGGTCCTTCATTCCTTGATTATATTATAAAATATTAATTATTGTGTAACATTTATACAATGTTTTTAATTTTTAAAGTAATCAAGCAGTGCCTCTTATAGCCATTTATTTATTCAATAAGCATTTATGAATATGTTTTATATATAGAAAACATAATATAGTAGGAATTATGAAGGAATTAGGATATTTTCTATGATATGTAATAGTATATTGTTAAATAAAACATGGGGTTAAAAATATTTATTATTCAAATTAGAAAATATTTAAAAATATATGTGTGTATTTATAGATGTGTATATATGTATTTATTTTGTCAAGTAGCTACTATTTGCAGCATTCTCTGTTAATTACAGCAGGATGTAGGTGGCTTTGATACTCTGAAAACCATACTGTCTTGTGGATGAATAACACATTTATACAAATAATGTGAAGACATGAACAAAATAGACTAAGGAAAGTAGTAGTGAGTGGTTTGAGTATGGTATAGGGAAGACACAATGGTGTTACTACCAGGCTTTGAATGCAGACTTAAATGTTCAAATCCTTGCTTCCAGCTTATTAGCTTTGTAACCTTGAAATAATTGCCTCATGGGGTTGTTTTGAGGATTAAATGAGATCATGCATGTCAGGCATTTAGTTTTATAATTGGTTCATAGTATATGCTCAGTAAATATTTTTGTTGTCATTTTTTACAGAACTTAGAGAGTATAGCTCAAATAATATTTCAGGGCATGTTTTTAAGAGAAGTAAAAGCTTCCAACACTTGATTCAATTTTGTATCCTCCTCTCCAACCCCAAAACTAGTACATAGTAAGGGATCTGTCACAGATAACAGAAATTAATTTAAGAAAAATTTCTTGGCAAAAGTCAGACATCCATCCAAATCTTGAAGGAAGTAGGGGAGGCAGGAGGTCATCTCAAGTTAAGGAAGCACCACAAGCAAAAGCACAAACTAAGGCCAAGCTAGATGTCACATAATCCCAAGAGAAAGGTCTGAATTGAGCAAAAAGATCTTATAATAACGAATAAACTGAGGAAAATTTACACCAGTGGCTATAAGAAATGATGTTAGATTTTGTAATAGAAAAATAGTTTAATGAAAAATATATTTAAGTAAGTTGTATGTAAAGTAAATATTAAAATACAGTTAAAATGGAACATTTTTCTAGGGTAGAAATAGTGTTAACTCAGTTCTGTTTTCTTCTACATAAATGTAGTAGGCAACATACTTCTGGGGTGAGAAAAAGGCAAAGTCACTTCTAAATTTTCTCTAGATAACTTATATACATTGTGATTTGCCTGTGATAAGTACTTAATTATAGATTGTTCCAAATTAGAACATTATTACTTCTAGACTCCTTCAGTTGGTTGGTATTTATTCAAAAATTATAAATAAATTTTAATGTTAACCTCAACAAAAATAATAAGGTAGTTTCTACCTCTGTTCTCATCTCAAAAACATTCCAAAGTACAAAATTGCTTAGAATTGTTTAAATCTACATAATGCTTAAATGTTTTCAGAGACTGTACTATTTCAGAAATTTCTTATTTCAAAATCCAGAGTTGTTTACTATTTCCATAGTTGAATAACACAGGAGCTTGCAAATAAGCTAAAAGTATACTAAAGACATTCCCAAGAATATCAGTAAAGAATTGTTGTGTAAAGAAATACTGTCATTACTGTAATTAAGGCACAAGCCTTAATTGCTCCCTATCAAGTCTTTTGAAACTGAAACAAAGTAATGATGGGGAAAAATATCTATCCAAGGTTTATGGTGTTAATCAAATGGTATTGATCCTTCCCTTATAAAACATTCTTTCTTCTCATACAAAGAGGAACAGGAACAGACAATCCAAGAGAATAATAATAAGCCATTACTTTGGAAAGTCTCACTCCCCCAGAGAGGAGCAAATAAAGAGCTAAGGCCATAATAGAGAGATGTCATTGGCAACTGAGGAAAACTGTCTATGAGGGGCTTTTCAGGTGAAGCTGCTCTGAACTGGCAAAGCATGCTAGATTTATACACGGACCCTCTTAAGGTTTTAACTCAAAAGTAAAGGCAATATATGTAACCTTAACACATGTACCCCCATAATACGCTAAAATAAAAAAAATTTTTAAAAATAAAAAAGTAAAGGTTTAGGGGAAAATTGGCTAGAAGAAAACCCAGTATTTTGTTAAGCCCTGATTGCATGTGGTTAAATGGGGTTAGTATAATTTCACATTAAATCTTGTATTAATATTACTTGGAAAAAAGGGTCTTTGAAAAAAAATCTGTTAATACAGTGTCTTTGTGTTAATATTAACAATACTTTATAGTTTCCACAGTAGTTTTCTATGATTTCATTTTTTTTTATCTTTACAACCTCAATGAGGCAATCTGTTTTATTCTCCCACTTTACAAATGAGCAAACATGATGAAAGATGATGACACATTTAAGAACATTGGTTTCTGGAGTCACAAAAGATTATAATCCTAACATTGTCATGTACTAGCTGTGTGACCTTGGACTAATTACTTTACCTTTTCTGGCCTTGGTCTTTTCATGTTTGAGTTGGTAACAATAACACCTTTGCCATTGTGGTTATTGTCAAGATTAATGAGCTTATATTTGTAAAGTATTATAATAAATAGTTTACTGTCTGGTTAGAAGCAACACTATATATAGCTAGAGAGAGAAAGAGAATTTTTTTATTCCATAGCCAATAATTAGTTATCCTGACAACAAAGGAGACTTACTTGCTTTTATCAGAATTGTAAAAATTCTATTATACTAAAATCACTCATTCTGAAGATTTAATTCCATTTGAAGCTGAGAGTCAGTCACCATTTTCTTTTTATGATCTTGACACCTATAAGCTATATTAAAGATTTTACATAGAATGTTAAGGATGTGTTAAAGGTTTAGAGGAAGACTATTTATTTTCATATGTGCTTCTTATGTTCTTAAGAGAATGCAAATCATTTTGTACTTAGAGACAGATGCTCTGAGAAATTAAAAAAAAAATTAAAACACTGCATAAAGATGTGACATTTTAAAAAGTTTTTTCTCCTTCCTCTTATTTCTATGTAGAACTAGTAAAATATCATTTAAAAGTGTATTTAGCATAGTAAAATTTTAGATAGTAAAGATCAACATGAATTACAAGAATTCATTTTACTAACTTTGGCATATTAAAACAAATAAGTTTTCAAGTTATAGTCCTTTGTGGCAGCTGGTTTCATATTCATGCAACAAGACAAAGGGAAAGTTCATTTAATCTACTTAAATATAACCTGTTTGTAAAATAAGAAATAGGATTTTTAGCTCAAAGTTCAGAGTCTATAGCATACTTTATGTACAAACTTGAAATGATTTGCATTTATGGGTTTTTCCAGAGTATTTCTAGAGTTCATATCAGAAGACCACTTTTGCAAGTCAAAGAAAATATCATGGTCTTTTTGAGTATCTAATATGATTTTACTTTTTTGAACAAAAAGGATTTTTTATCTTTGTAAGGGCCTTGTGATGATGGTAGTGGTGGGATGTGATAATGGTAGTAGTGGTGGGATGTATGGTTGTCTTTTAAGTTAATATTTCTGTGGGACTTCACAATGCATACATAATTGGCTACTCTTTTTATATGTTAGGATTCAAGTGAAGCTGGTTTATAGAATAAATTTTAGATTTAAAGAAAAAATAATCATGAAAACAAAAGTAAGGGTTGCCAACTGATTATCCAGAATTATTTTTGAACAGCAGGAACCCAGAACATATCCTGTCAAATGAAAATTTCTATTCTAATTAAGTTTCCAATTAATGTGCACCCTGTTGTCTCTTAGATGTTGCTCCTGCCTGGACTGATAATTATGGAATGCAAGGAAAGAAGATTTCCCTAAATCCCTCTGTTCGCCTTAAGACAGAGAAACTAGAAATGGTAAATCCTTTAAATTTTCATTTTTCTTCCATAAGACAACAACAGGAAATAAGTATTCTCCTTCTTTGAAAGGATAAAGAACAGAAGCCATTAGTTTCTTAAAGTTACTTATTTGCAATTAAATGAATGACAGTTTGGATTTCAATTATTTAATTCATGTTTGAGTTTATTAGTTCTTATAGATCACCAGTACAAAATAAAATAAAACCTTTTGTAGCTAAATTGACATTCAAATCAATCAATTTCCTGTTCTCTGGGAATAAGATAAATATGATGTTTTCCAATCTAGAATCAAAGGAAACATGGAATAAATTATAACAAAGTATATTAGGCTTCCTAGATAATAGCAATGAGTACAATGAAGTAATACTCCATTATTCAGCTTAAGTAAAGGGAAACTAAATCCTAAAGAATAAAATAGTAATATGCCCATTAAATATAAAAAGATAGTAGCAATATGCTAAGGCACCAAAAAATAGTCTTGGGGAGAGTGAAACATTGAAACTTTCTATTTCTTAAAGAAACTTAAGATGATTAAAAAAGAAAAATTAAAGGCAGGAAAGCGCTTGAAAACTTTTCCTATCAAGTTACTAGGGATCTGACAGGAAAAATGTGCAATATTTTTTCAATGTAAAATGGACCTGTTTATTCCTGTATCCATACCTTTGGTTGGCCCTATAATACAACCATTCTCATTGCCAATTTGGATCTCACCCATTGTTCAAATTCTGACTTATGTAGGAAAGAAAAGTTTTTTCTTACCCATTACTAGGTTCATGGCTGAAACACCTATAACAAGAGACAGATTAACAAGAGAAAAACATGCAAATTTATTTAATATAAGTTTTACATGACATGGGAGCCCTTCAGGAATGAAGACCAAAAGAAACAGGGAAAACTGTGTTTTTATGGATAGTTGTATAGAAATGACTGGAAGATAAAGGGTATGATCTAATGGTAATAAACTGAAGGGAACATAGCAAGGTCTGTTTGTTCAGATTCTTCTTGGCATCTCTGTGTCTTCAGAGATGAAGACATTTCCTTTCCTCTGGGTGTAGGGAGGACCCCTCTGGAATTAGGGTCTAACACCTACATTTAGGGGAAAGAAAGCAAAGTTTTATGGCCCACTTCAGGAGAGACCTTGCTTCTGCTATCTCTTCAAATACCAAGGTGCCATATTTTGAGGCAGCATGTTCTGAGTTCTGTCATTTAGTTCCGTCTCCTTTAGCCAGACTTTGCTAACTACTGTGGTTCAGGCCAATATTGCCTTCTTTTGGACATTAGTAGCACTTACCATCACTTGGTGGCACCTCATAATCTTTGTATCTTGTTTTATCAATGAAATTATAAGTGTCTTCACCATAGACCCTGTAGTACCTACCATTGTTTAAACACCTGACTTGTGCTCAATAAAACTTTCCATATAATTAGATACTTGAAATGTCTCCTTTATATTTTCTCAATCCTGAGTATCTTTTGCTAACCTGTGCTCTTTTTATTTATGGCAACATGTAAGTTCTGGCTAATGGCATGGTCTATAATTAGTTAATATTAACACTTTTAAAAATAAAGTATTTGAGGTTTAAAAACATATCTATTATATATATAAAACAATTACTGAGCTTTAATGATGTTGATTTAATATAAATTTGTGAACATTCAAGATTTAATACCATCTCTCTGGATAAGGAGAAAATTATCTAGCTAACCACTTTACCTGGCAGACTTCTATGCATGAAACAAAGTTTGTAGTACATTGTGTCATCAGAAACAAAGGTGTCAGTATCTTAGCCACCCATGTGGAAAATCTGTGGCATCATGTCAGTGCTCAAAGAGTTATGGATTTGGGGGCACTTCAGATTTTCAGATTATGGATGCTCAATTTATATAGAGAAATAATGAATAAAATAAAACAAGGCAGTTTTCTAAATACATAGTCAAGCTTGGGAGGAAGAAAGGAAAGAAAAAAGGGAGAGGAGAGAGGAGTGAAGGAAATCTTACACAACAGAAATGTAAGTGTGAACACTAGAAGTTAGTGCTGACATCATGTGGCCCAAGGAAGGAATCAGACTCAGATATTGAGGCTCAGATTTAACATGGACTTAGGCCCTTTTCAGATGGGATTCTGGAACTGATATCCTCTATAGAGAAATACAAGATCCTGAAAGGGCTGGCTTCCCTCATCAAAAGAAGGGCTAGAGAGAAATGTTCCCACTAACTCAAGGAAAATACAGGGAACCCCAAAGAAAGATGGTCAGTGCAAATGAATGGGCCATTTACAAAAGTCAAAACCCAAATGGCAGTTAAATATGTGAAAAGATGTCCTTCCAGGAAATTAAAATAAAGCAACAACGAGATACAGTTGCCTACTCATTAAGTGGACAGATATTTAAAAGTCTTATAATAGCAGTGTTCTCAGGGATAAAAAGAAAGACCTGGGAACTCTCATCTGATACTCATAGGACTGTACTTTGGAGAGCAATTTGGCAAAACTGAACATTCTCACATCTTAACTCAGCAAGTCTACTTCTAGGTATATACCCTAGTGAAATCCTAGCACCACTACAGAAAGAGACATGTATAATACACTAATACTTGGAGCTTTTCAGCTATATCAGGTTCTCTTCTTTCTCTGCCAGTAGTAGAATTGTACTTTCCCACCTGCTTAAGAGCCAGTGTGAAGTTCATCATATTTCTTTCCTCTCTGTTTTAGCAGCCAGTCAAACTCCTGATGATGGAGGCTGTCCCAGTCAGGGGCCCTGAATAAGAAATACAGAGAAAGAGAACCCAGCTAACTCACATTGGACATGTAACATTAGCAAGGAGAAAATGAACCTTTGTCTTTTCTAGGCAACTAAGACTAGAGTTGGAGAAACAACAGTATAACTAGTCCATCCCAACCAATAGATACATGAATATTATTGCAGCATTATTTAAAAGAATGAATGGTAGGAGCTGTCTAAATGCCCATCGATAAGAGAATAGATAAATCAATGCTAGCATGATTTTTATCATCATGTGGGGTATATTATAGAGTAAGGAAAATGAAAGAACAAGAATCTCATGCATCAACCTGAACAAATTTCACAATGTCATATTTGGTAAAGAAAAGAAATTATATGTATCAATACTGTCCTTACAGTTGTAAAAACTCATTAGAATAGAATACTAAAAGTAATTTTGTGTGCCATGAAATTAGGTAACCTAGATGAAATGGACAAATTCCTAGAAAGGCATAAACTACCAAGATTAACTCAAGAAGAAATAGAAAACTGAATAGAACTATAACAAGTAAAGAAATTGAGTTAGTGATCAAAAAACTTCCCACAAAGAACAGTCAGGTCCAGATGGCTTCACAGGTGAATTCTGCCAAACAGTTTTTTAAAAAGCTAACAGCAATCCTTCACCCAAAAAATGTAGAAGGAAGGAATACTTCACAACTTATTCCATGAGGCCAGCATTACCGTGATACCCAAACCAGGCAAAAACATCACAAGAAAAAAATCAAACACCAGTATCTCTTACAATTATAGATATGAAAATCCTCAACAAAATACTAGCAAACTAAATCCAGCAACATATATAAAGGATTATTATACACTATATCCAAATTGAATTTATTCTAGGAATGTAAATTTAATATATGAAAATCAATCAATATAATACTATATTAATAGAAGAAAGAACCAAACCACATGATAATCTCAGTAGACACAGAACATTTGACAAAACCTAATACCTTTTCATAATAAAAACACCCAATAAACTAACAATAGGAGGGAATCCCCTATGAAAACCCACTGCTAACATCATACTTAATAATGAAAGACTGGATGCTTCCCCCTTAATATCAGGGACAGGAAAAGATTTCTGCTTTGCCACATGCATTTTATATTGTACTAACTAGAGGTTCTAACCAGGGTAATTAGATAAGTGAAAGGCACTCAGATTAGACAGAAAGAATTAAAACTATTTCTATTCCCAGATGATGTGATCCTGTCTATAGAAAATAAAATCTTAAGGAAATTACTAAAATATTATTAGAACTAAAAGCAAAACAATTGTATTTCTGTATACTAACAATGAACAATCCAAAAATGAAATTAAAACAATTACACTTATAATAGCATCTAAAAGAATAAAATACTTGAAAATAAATTTAATAAAATAAAGGCAAGACTTATACACTGAAAACTACTAAACATTGCTGAAAGAAATTAAAGAAAACCTAAATAAATAGAAAGATATCTTGTGCTTGTGAATCCATGAACTTAATTGTTAAGATGGCAATATTCCCAAAATTGATATATAGATTCAATGCAATCTTGATCAAAATATCAGCTGGCTATTTTTCAGAAATTGATAAGCTGATCCTAAAATCTGTATAGGGATACAAGAGACCCAGAGTTGCCAAAACAGTCTTAAAAAAGAAAAAAGTTGGATTCACCCTTAACTGATTTGAAACTTACTATAAATCTATAATAATTCAAATAATGTGATATTACCATAAAGATAGAAGTATAGGTGAATAGAATAGAATTGACATTCCAGAAATAAGCCTGTGTATTTGTGGTCAGTCAATCTTCCACAAGGATATAAGACAATTCAATAGAGAAAGAATAGGCTTTTCAACAAATGATGCTGGAAAAAACTGGACATCCACATGTCAAACAATGAAGGCAGACCCCAATCTCATATGACATACAAAAATTAATTCAAAATGGATCATTGACCTAAACATAAGAGCTAAAACTATAAAAACTCTGATAAATTGTACTATGTCAAGATTCAGAAATTTTCTGCTTCTAAGGATGCCATCAAGAAGGTAAAAAGACAACCCACAAAGGGAGAAAATATTTGCAAATCAGGTATCTGATAAAGGACTTGTATCCAGAATATGTAAAGACCTCTTACAATGCAATAAAAAGACAACCTAATGGAAAAATAGGTAAAGGATATGAATAAACATTTTTTCAAAAAAAGATCCAAATGACCAATAACACATGAAAAAATGCTCAAAATCTTTAGTCACTAATAAAATGCTAATCGAAACTACAATGTGATACCACTTCATACTCACTAGGATGTCTATAATTTAAAAAAAGACAGGTCCTTGCCTGCGAGAGTGGCCACTGTGTTGGTGCTCTGGGGCTTGGACCCTGGCTAGCCAGAAAATAAAAAAAATAAAAAAAAATAAAAAAAGACAATTACAAATGCTGGTGAGGACTTGGAGAAACTGAAACCTTCCTACATTGTCAGTGGGATTGTAAAATGGTGTACCCACTTTGGACAATAATGTGGCAGTTTTTCAAAAAGTTAGAGTTACCATATGACCAAGCATTTCCACTTCAAGATATAAACCCAAACGAAATGAAAGCATGTCCTCACAAACACTTATGTGCAAATGTTCATTACAGCATTCTTCATAATACCCCAAAGTGGAAACAACCCAAATATCCATCTAATAAATGGAACAAAATATAGCATTTACATACAATGAAGTATTATTGGATCATAAAAGAAATGAAGTTCTGACACATGCTACAACATGGTTAAATCTGGAAACATTAGGTTAAGTGAAAGAAAACAGCTACAAAAAGCAACAAATTATATAATTTCATTAATATAAAATTTTTAAACTATTCTTTACATGGAGTTGCACTACTGTCCAATGAGCACATAGTGAGGGCAATACTGCGAATGCCTATACCACATGCCCACATCAACTAGAGTTTTGCTTTACTTTGGTGCAATTTTTACAAAAAGGAAAACCCTCTTTTTCATAATAAGAATTTAAAAAAATAATAATAATATGAAATTTCCACAATAAGCAAATTCATGGACACAAAATAATGGATTAGTGTTTGGTTGGAGAGATGGAGAAATAGCAGGTGACTGCTAATGAGTATGAGGTTTTAGGGGGGGCAATGACAATTTTCAGGACGTAAATAGCGTTGATTGATGTACAACTTTGTGGATATACTAAAAACCATTTAACTGTACACTAAAACCATAATTTTATAGTATGAATTATATCTCAATGAAGCTGTTATTAATAAAATGAAAAGTCTCAATAATATGTACAGTAAGGTATGATTTGTGTAAAAATCAGAACTTAAAAAACTGCTTAAAATTATTTATCTCATATATTTATAAAAATATGAAGTAATGGTATAAAATGTGCTTGGGAACAGTCCATAGGAAACTACACAAAAAGAGAATATTAAAAACTGAAAACTTATGCCCAAAACTGAGAGAAAATATTTGTAATGCATATAAGATATAAAGTGTTAGTATCCAAAATATATGAATAATTTCTACAAATCATCAGAAAAAGACCTACTAATACTACTTCCAGCTAGCTATATGCCTGAAAGGGCACTAGTGCTTTGTAGCAGTGTATTTAATAGTGAAAAATTGTACATAATCTAAATGACTATCAAAAGGAGAATGCTTTTAAAAATGTTCAGTCCAGACAGTGTATAATAACAACAATTTTTAAAACCATGCAATAGATAATCTAAAATGTACAGAATGGAAATCTGAGATATATTGATAATTTTTAAGCATAGAACACAATAGTATAATTTGACTTTTACAAAAAATATAATTTATATAAATTTATATATAGGTACTATATTCATAGACAAAACCTGGAAAGTTATATACCAAATTTGTCTCTGGAGAAATGGTTCTCAAGGGCAAGGACGTGTTTTTTCTCCTCCGGGGACATTTGGCAATGTCTGAAGACATTTTTGGTTGTCACAACTGGAAGACAGCTACCAAATCTCGAATCAGTAACAAGAGATACTTCTTAAAAGTTTATCTATGAAAATTTAAATATCACTAAATAATTTATGAGTCAAAAATATTGCTAATAAACATGTAAAGAATGTTTAATCTCACTTGTAATTAGGGGAATTCAAAATAATAAATAGTACTGTTTTATATACAAACTATTAACAAAAATTAAAGTGTGACAACAGCAGATGCTGTTAAGAGTATAGAAAAATAGGAATTCTTAAGTACCACTGGTGTGCATAAATTAGTACAAGCAGTTTGGAGAAAAATATCTAATAACATTGACAATGTATAACCTCTATAACTCAGCACTTTCTCTTCTAGGAATATAATGTAGAGAAATTGAACCCAATCCCTACAATCCCTATTAACTTCAGTTTTGCTCTCAAAAATAGGATATTAACAAATAATTATGCATATTTCTGTATTACTTATAAATCTGATTTAATAGGATACTCTTGCTATTTTTTTTCTGCCAAATCTTCCAAACTAAGAAATAGTTTGATTTTTGATTCTAGGGCTATGGTTATAAATTTGGAATTACCCAAAGTGTTCGTCTTGAAAAAAAATTTGAGGTGGTGGTAGAATCAAGAAGCTAATCTTTTATAGGCACTTAGTCCATAAATAGCAGATTTTCTTTGGGCATCTAATTCTGGTCACTGTTCCTAATATTGATTATTTTCATTGGATTGTAAAATAAAGTTATAATGAAAAGTTTTATTCTTTGGAGATTTGAAAATTTGCTTCATATGAGTCATTTTCCTTCCAGGCTCTAAATTATCTTGGTATTCAGCCTACGAAGGAACAACACCAAGCCCTGAGACAGCAAGTACAAGCAGACTCAAAGGGGACAGTGGCTTTTGGAGGTAAAAAATTAGGTTCATCGTGTTGTATCATCACAGAAACTTGGTCAAAGAGTTATTGTGACTCATTTTCATTAAAAGTGCTTGTTCTTTAGAAGGAGAGAATGAAAAGTAAAACCATATCTATTTCAGGTTTCTTAATCAGTACTCTAAAAATTTAGCTAGAGTTACTTGCCTAGCTGGGTCAGCCAAAAGAACTGTTTTAAAATCTTTCAGCTCTAAAATATCATTCTATCATATTCTTTTTTATTTATGCATAAACATTGCTTTAATAATAACAAAAGAAACTACAAAATATAGAAATCCTACTTTCACTACTGTGAGATTAATTCTAATTCTGTTTTAGCAATATAATATATAAATATTTTGATGGTGTTGTATAATCAGTTGTTTGTATGATGGGAATTGGTTCTAGTACCTCCCAAGTATGCCTAAATCTAGGGATTCTCAGATCTCACAGTCAGACCTATGGAAACCATATAGGGCGTATACATGAAACTCCCTAAAAGTGAATTTTGCAGCCTGCCATACAGTATTTTTAATCTGCTTTTGGTTGAAAAAAGAATCTACCTATAAGTAGATCCATGCAGTTCAAGACCATGTTGTTCAAGGGTCAGCTATATTCATATTAAAGATAGCATAGTGTACCACTTAGTTGTCATACTGTATTATTAAGCTTTTCTAATATGGGAAATTGTAAGTGTTTCTCAGCAGCTGATATTATAAATCTATACTTATCATCATTGTGATTGTAGCTGTTTTTCCTCTTTTTCTTAGAATAAATTCCCACAAATGGTTTGAACTTTTGATACATATTGATAAATTGTTATACAGAGATATTTTACACATTTATTTGTTCTGCCACCAGTAATGTTTGAATATAACAGTTTTTAGTCTCCTTGATACCATTATGTATTTATTTTTTTTCTTGTATAGTAGATACAGCATTGTATCATTGTTAAAGCATCTTTATTGCTGAAAAAAAAAAAGAAAGGAAATTCAACTTTTGGTTTTGAAGAGATGAATAAAAGATAGTTTTGGCCCCATCTCCTATTGAGAATTACCCCCAAAATAATGGGAACAAGAAACAGACATACACATATAACTAAAACCACAATATCTAAGGACAGAAAATGGTTGAGGAAAGGAATTAGTGAGCAGTGGCAAATAAAGTCCAAGTGTCTAAAGAAAGAGAGAAATCACAATAGGGAACAAGGTGATTTGACTCTGAAAAGGCTTAGTATTATAATTGATAGCATCAGGTACTTCTGATGGCTGGGTTTAGGTGGGGCATTTAAAATAGGATTGTTAGAAATCTTTATAAGGAAAATAATATGTGTTCTTCACTGCCCCTTCTGAAGCAGTCAGGCAATTACCACTCTCTTGTATCTCCTTTGAGGTATATTCCTTGAGAAATTAAACCAGAGAGATTCTGGACCTATAGTTGCCAGCAGCAAGAGAGTTAGAGGTAGTGTGTGGTGAGTCATGGCTCACAGCACTCACCCAGATTGCTCAGGGAAATTTGCAGCCATGTATATAACTATAGGCAGGAGATTATAGGATTCTCTCTGAAGAAGCTGAACAAAATGTTAGCTGGCTACCTACCTGATTGCCCTGTAGTGAAAACCTGCCGGTTGACAAGACATATTTATAATCAACTTTTTAAGTGCCTGATTCTTCACTCTGAACTCATAGGCAAGGAGCCAGGGGTCACCAGGTATTTAAAGAAATCCTTCAACATAAAATATAGACCCCAAATTATCAGACAAACAAACAAAAGAAGGAATAGAAAAAAGAGAAATAATGAAGAGCAGAAGAGAACTTCATGTAAACTATAATTAATATCTTTAAAAAGAGGACAGGGCATGGTGGCATGCGCCAGGGGTCCTAGCTACTTGAGAGGCTATGCCAGGAGGATCACTTGAGCCCGGGAATTTGAGGCTGCAGTGAGCTATGATCGGGCCACTGCAGTCCAGCCTGAGTGAAAGAGAAAGAAAGAAACAAACAAAAAGATAAATGGATATAATACTTTCATAAAATAAAAGTAGGATGTTATAAAATAGGAACAATCAGAAAACACTTGAAAGGATACTTGGAAATTCAAAATATAATAGACAAAATGAAAAATACTTAAGGATATATATATGAATAGGTCACTCTCTGTGTCTGAAGAAGGTTATGGACCGCTTTGCAACTTATTTGCCAAGTGGCCTTTATCAGTTTAAGAGAGTTAACCTGTCTTAGCCTCAACTTAGTGATCTGTAAAATGAAGAAGATAAGAGGACCCATCTCAGAAAATTGCTGTGAGCATGAAATTGCTAACCACCCTGCCTGGCATACAACAGCTGTTGTATAAACATTAGCTGCTACTATTATTATTATTAAATCTCAGGTTTTTCCAGCTAGAAAAGCTGTTAGTCATAATATTGTCATTTGTTTCAGAAAAAGTTCTGCTCATAATACAAGAGTTGGAGAGGTAAATATATGTCTGTGATATGTATTTGTTTTATTATTATTGACTGAATTATTAATGTTAGCAAAATTAACTGAAGTTAAGTTAGAACTAGTTTCTCTCTTACTTATTTGAACTTAAATTTTCTTGTCACTTCAGTCAATACTATTTTAAGATAATTTATGTAAGTTAAATTTGAAGCATTAGTTATAACACAGTTTCAACTTCATATAAAAAAAAAAAGTCAGATTTATTTAGATGAAGTTAAATGCTGTGTTCTTACTGAAATATGTTCCATTGTAGATTTTGTCCAGGTTGCCAAAAACTTGTTTTGCTTGCAGTTGGATGAAGTAAATGTTGGTGCACATGAAATTTCCAACATACTAGATTCACAGGTAGAGTATGCACTTTAAAATTATCTTGGCTGCACCAGAGTCACAAATCTTGACTTTTATGTGTTCTATAGGTAGGATTTTTTTACTTTTTTGTTAAATGATGCAAATAATGCATGTTTCTTGGGTAAATATATAAAATACAGGTTAATTTAAAATCAAAAGTAGAAGTTCATCTTGATCTCTTCCATCCTCCTCTTTCACTGGCCTCTCATGCTAATCTCATCCCTAAGTTTGGCAGTATTGACAATTTGATATATGCAAGGATAATACTATAACTAGATAGATAGATATTAATAGATATATGTATATGTCCATTCTAATCTGTTTTATCTCACTGTAATATACACAGAAAAAACACTCATATGGTAAATGTATACCTTATGATATTTTACAATCTCAATCATCCTCTTATAATTAGTATTAAAATCAAGAAACATAAAATTAAAGAAATACATTACCAGGACCCCAGATGTTCTCCTACCCCTAGGTTCCTTTCTATTGATAATTACTAATGACACCCCCATCACTCCCCCTAAAAAATTGGGGTAACCACTCTTTTGCCTATTTTGCATATTTTTAATAACTTTTCTTCTAGTTCAAGTTTAGGAATCAAAATAGCACTTTTATTTCGTGATTCTATTTAGAGCACTGCTGTTTTCAAGTGATAGGTCTTATTGATAAGAAGTTTGAATACTATTTATTATTATGTAATTCCATAAATGCAGTGTAAAAACGTATGAATAGTTTATTAGACAAAGTAAATCTTCTCTTATTTAAAAAATAATGCTATATCAGTTTTTAAAATGTTTCAGGTCACTTTGTTCTATTTAGTAAGCAATCTCTTTTATTGCTGAGCATATTGCTCATTGCAGTCACCCAAAGACCTAGCTGTTCTGTAACTTTCAGAAGAGTACCCAGTTCTCCCCGAATTGAGGCACTGGTTTATCAGAACTGATTCTGTAGCATTTATTAGATGAGAGCTAAAGTGTAGGAATGCAGTTTTCATTCTGCTTATTCAGGTGTTATGTATTTATCTACCTAATGTTAATGGCAGAGAACATTGTTTTTTTACTGTCAAACAGTTCTCAAAGCTGTCATACCCATTTTTGATAAGAAAAGGCAAAGATGGTTGAGTAGCTTATAACACGCCAATGAAGTGGAGAATTCAGAGTACTTTGTTTGAGCATGCAAAGCTTTTTTAGCAGCTGCAACAAGATAGTCATGCTCCAGATTAGTAATTTACTTACTTCTTACCAATGTGATTTTAGGGCAGATAAGAATGTGTTCAATCTGTGATACTTTGATAGCAAAAGCAAAATGCTGATGGCAGTTGTGTAAGATGTTCTACATGCCAATAATTTTCTATGTGTGGCTTCAGATCGAAGTGTTGTGCAATTGTCATTATATTATTTATAAAATTTTCTTTGTTATATTTTGCTTGTCAGCACACAGAAGATGTCCTCATAAAGTATTGGCTTTCCTTTCTTTTTTTACTTGAATTCACAATAATAATACATTTTTTGATTGTTTTTTACCACACTCTAACATAACTGAAACAAAAGTCTCCCAAAGCATTATTTACCTTTTCTATGTGCACTGTATTCTTATTTATTAATAATATTCAATTCTATTTCTTTAAAAATTTGGTTTCATAATTCACTAATGGGTAATGTACCTCAGTGTGAAAATCACTATAAAAATCACAGCTTGTCAAGTGGCTCACCAAAAATAACTTATTATTTTGTAGTGTAATTCCCAGCTTTTTTGAGTTAAAAAGTTGTATAGTGCCTCATCTAAAGTATATCATTTGATCTGTAGTAGAAGATGCTGACAGTCTATGAGGGTAGGGAAATTCCATTGTGGTTACCCCCCTCAACTATCTAAGTTTCACAAACATCAGGTTCGGGTTTATAATCATTCTTTTACTCATAATTTTTCTTTTCTTTACTTTTTTTTTTTTTGGCTGATAAGGATGGCTTGTCTTTTTCTTAATTTATTTTTAGAAAATATTTTCACTGAAATAGAACATACACACAGTGAAATACAAAAAATCTAAAGTATATAGCTCGAATTTCTCTTATGTGTCCCACCACTAAAAAAGACCCCTCATGCCGACTTCCCAGTAATCTGCCAGCTTTACATTAGAACCAATGTTTTGACTTACTTTTGCATAATCTTGAAATTTGTAAATAACAGAATTATAGAGTATGTACTCTTTTGTTACTAGCTTCTTTTGCTCATTATTTTGTCTGACTCAGGATTTCTTGAGATACTATCTTTTATAATAAGTAGGAATTGCTGAGTCAGTATAAATCAGTCCTGCTTTTGTTTATTTGATAAAGAACTTTTGGGTTTGGAAGAATATGACATTTAAAACCAAAAATATAATTATCTTACTATGAGTCTAATCATCATTGCTATCTTTAAAAATTCACACAGTACTACACTTGCTGCTGGCACAAAGTTATACACAGAAAAGGCAAGGCTGGAGCCCACATTTAGCAGTACTCTAAACTTAGCAATAACATATTATAGTCTATCATAATATGATGATTTTACCAGACTAATCAAGTACTATATCATGAATGGATTATCTTAAAATCAGAGAGAATACTGTGAATTCCCTAAAGTAGACTTTTCACAATTTGGACCCTTATTAAATCAATTTAGTAATTTGCAACAACCATTTTAACAAATGAGATAGAATAGAATAGAAAATATCAAAGTGAATTATATGTGATAACATTGAATAATATTTCACTTATTCTGGATCAGTATATAAATCATATTTTTCACTGTGTATAGCAGCTAATACTTTATAGCCACTTCCCTAAAGACTCATCTGTAAAACACCAAATATATATTGAACAAGTACAGTGTATATGGAATTATTTAGTTGCTGTTAGCACATGTTATTAAGATAAATAAAACTCAGCCCATATAATTTAAGGAAAAGTCGTGTACACAAATAATTATTGTAATAAAAAGTATATTGTGTGATAAGGCCATAATGGTAATAGAATTTAGAATATTCAGAAAAGATTTATAACGGAGGTGGCGTTTGAGTGAATTTTGAAGGATAAATAGGATTTTATCTGCTCAAGAGGTAAGCAAAGAGCGATAAGAGTTTTAGCATGAAAAAAATAGAATGTGATTGTAAGCAAAGAGCAGTCTACTTTTTATAAAAAGATAATTTGGGTACATCCAGGTGACACAAGTTAAGCCTTAAAGGGTAAATGTTAAATTTAAAGGTTTGTACTTTATTCAGTAGTAAGTGAGGCACTATTAAGGAAAAAAGTGACGTGATCAAAGTGATGTATTAGAAAGAATAATCTTATGTGTTGGTTATCTAGAATGGGAATGAAACTGGTGGTAGATAGTCTAGATAGAGGACTATGGAAAGAATCCAAATATAGTATAATAAAGAACTAAACTATAGTGAAGGTGAAGAGAATAGAAAGGAGAGGAGTGACAGATACAGGATATTTACCAAAACCCACCACCACAACAAGAAGTATATTATCAATAGATACCATTAATAGAAATAGGGAAATAAGGAGAAAGCCTTTTCAAGTTAGAGAAGATGATGGGTTATGTTTTGGAGAAAGTACATTCAAGAGGCTAACAGGTATAAATAGCCAAAGGCATTGGAAATAAGGAACTGAATGCCAGGGGAGGAATTTGGAACACGATAGTTGAAGCATAGCAGTGAATGGGATCTCTCAGAGCTTGTAGAGAAAATGAGGGGAGAGGATAAACTAGAGAATCTCCCACCCCCTCATCCACTTAAGGAGTAGAAATGAAAACAAGTCCTTGGAAATGGCATAAATGTTCAGAAGGGTAGGTGAGGTAGTAGGATATCACAACCTAAAGAAGAGAAAATTTCAAGGAAAAAAGGCTTGACCAATGATATGTGTAACAAAGAGGTTACAAAAGTTGGTGGGGGGCATTTACTTTGTCAAATAACAGTTTTATTGGTGAAATTACGAGTAATCATTTTAGAAACATGGGGATGGGAGGAAAGATATATAAACCAGATTTGAAGAAGTAAAAGGAATGAGCAGGAGAAATGAAAGGAGAAAAGAAGGGGATACGCAGAAATTTTTAGGTGAATAGGATGGTACTGTCTCACACAATTTTATAAGGAAAGGAGTTAACTGAATAGGTTTCTAATGGAAGGCTTAATCAATAAAATTAGACAAAAACAGAGGTTATTGTTTTGTTTTGTTTAGAATGAATTGAGGTTGGGGGGAATGTGGCCAATGGAATAGTAGCTATCCAGAATTGATACAAGTCAAATAACTTAAAATCATGATGGTAGGAACAAGAGTGAAGGGAGAGATGAGGTTAGACCTAGTCAACACAGTCCAGTGACTGACAGTGTCTCTTGGTATCCCCAGAAGCACACAGTAGAAAGGGGAGTGTAAATGATTTCTAGTGTTATTTACCAGGTATCACAGAGGTCAGGGGGCCCAAGGATCATAAACAATATTGTAAGAGTGAGACAGAAAAGGGATGTAAAAGGTTGAAAATGTCTGTCCAGAATTGGTTTTAAATAGCAATAATATATTTCACTTACTGCTTGCTGAGTTGATATATATTTGAATAGAACTATTTTTAAAAAAGTCAGTGAGCATAAAGGGGCTTTTCAAAGAATTCACAAGTAATATCCATGGCCAATTCTTTGGCTACACATTTTTGGTGCTTAGTCCAAAATAGCAGTAGGAGTATAAAACAGTTTTTTAAAGGCATGCTTTGTTTTATGACTACTCAGTCTAGTGCTTTGCCTCTCAAAATGATGTCATGGATTCTTTTTTGTGTGATTTACCTCCGTGATGTTAAGCTCAAAAGCTTATGATCACATCCCTAAAATCCCAATCCATAATTCTCTTAATAAATTGTTAGAGCTCTGTTATCTATAATTTTATTTAAATTTTTGAATCCTGTGTATTTCACTTCTTAGGAAAAGAAAATAGAATAGGCTTATATGAATGTTGAGTAGCAGTGTTTGCCCAATTGTGGTTTGCAAACTTTAGTTCCATGAGCTAGTACCAAAACATAAATAAAGGCAGCCGGGTAAGGGAGTCTTGTGGTCTGGTCAAATTACTAGGGAAATATGACAAGTTATTAAATTATACTTGCTTTTTGAAAATTCAAGTCCTCATTAGCATATTGACTATTGGAAGCCGTGTAAGAAAGAAGGTTAATTTTTTCTAAATCCTATACCACTACCACAATCACCACCACCCAATTTTGCTTTCATACAAAACCAATTAGTATCCTTTGAAACACACTTTAGGGAATACTGTTATGTTTGAACATGTGTTCAAAACTAAAACAATATAGAATGAATTCTTACGAGTGTTTGTGATGAGTACTTCTGAGAGAGTAACAGAGACACATAAAGAATATGAGATCATATAAATTACAGACAATGGCCATAGATACCCAAAAGCTAATGTAGCAGGGAAAAGAGAACCAATAATGTTTAGGGAAAAAATTTCTTCCCAAACTTCAAAAATAACTCCTACTTCTGTTATTCTAGAGTTTGGAAAGCAAATCTGAGTATCTCCTCCATTCCACCACAATTTGTGTTGAATAGTTAATAAAAATCACAGACTATGATGTCAGACCTCTGTGGGAATCTTGGAATGACCACTTATTAACTGTGAAACATTAGGCAAGTTATTAATACTAACCTTTCTGAGATCGTTTCCTCATCTGTAAAATGGAGACAGGGTTTTTGTAAGGCTACAATATTGAATGTATGCAGTCCTTAGCAATGCATCTGCACATAGTAAGTTTCTGATAAATGGTTGATATTATTAACTATTTCTATTATCTTTTCCTACTCTGTCTTCACCTCTCCTATCTAAAGGGCTCTGTTTTCAGCCCACACTTAACAGTTGCTTTCTCCACTAAATCCTTTAAATTATATTTCTATGCTATTTTTTTTAGCTTTTTTTTGTAGATTCCACACAGAAGATGGCTATAATTAGACTTGAATTTTATCTCTGATTATATTGTCATTGTTTTTTACCTTGTAATTGACTGTCAAAGAGATCATGGTAAACATAAAAGAAATTGTCATCACTGATATTTTTTGTTGTTGTTAATCACTTGTGTATGTATTATTAATGTTATCTTCAGGCCACAGTTTCTGAGTAGGAATATTTTTAAGCCATTTGGCTGTTGTTGCATTACTTTTCATTTAGTTAAAACCAGATACATAATTGATAAATATGCTTTACTGAGCTCATGTAAACCATCTTGATTGATAACATAGAACATGCTGCTAGCCTTAGATACCATGCTCTTGAAATGAATGTCTTTAGGAAATAGTTTATGTTGCCAACTTCTAAAGTCTTTCTGAGATGTAAACTCTGTGTTGGAATTTGGACTTTTAAGGAAAATTATATTGTTAAATTAAAAACTTGAAGGTGAGAACAGAGTCAGTATACCTTCTCTAATTATCTAGATTCTGTTGTAAGTAACAGCAATGTAAGGTTAAGCTTAAATGAATGAAATTGCCCCAGATTACTTTAATATTCTCTTTTATCTAATCAAATGACTCTGAAATAAGAAACTGAATTTTGTTATCAGAATGCAAAAGCCTAAGATTAGTCAAAAAGGATGTTTATGTTAGCTCTCATAATTAGCATCTAACGCATAATTTTTCTCTTATATTTTAATATTGACAGCTTCTTCCCTGTGATTCTTTAGAAGCAGATGAAATAGAAAGGCTTAAGTGCGAAAGAAATAACGCCTTGAAAGAAGTGAATATGCTTAAGGTAACCTCAAATTTAGCATTCTTATATTTCCTTTAGAATAAAGGAAATAATCCTATGTTGGATTCTGAAGTGTTGCGGCTCAGTTTTATTTTCAATGAAAGAGTATTAATATCAAATAGTTAGAATTAGATTCTTTCTTCAGTTGGCCTTTAGAGAATTAATTTTTAGTTCACATGCTTACTGATATTTCACAATATCCATGTAAGATTTATTGTGAACCACTGTTTTTGCTCCTGCCTTCTGATCCAGGCTACTCCTTACCCCTATTTTTTCCTCATATTGGCAACCAGGGCAAAATTAGATGAGGAGCCAACGAGCAAATTATGACAGTTTTGGATCTTCTGAGTTTATTGGGAAATACATTTTTTTCCATGTGCAGGGCCATGCTTAAGGGACATAATGTTTTACTAATGTAATTTGGAATTAAGGCAATAGCATTTAAGGGAGGAAAAAACACATATTCCAAATATACTATAACATTTTGATTCTCTTTATATAGTTTCATTCTGTTTTTAATAGAATATTAAATTTAAATTATATCCTAATTTTTGCAGAAAGCTCTTATATTTTCCAGATCTTCACAAAAAGCAGCATAACTACTTGATTTACCATTAACTCACCATAGGGATATATATTTTTAATTATTTTATTAAATAAGTGAAATTCTATTTCATTTTTATTAAATTTAAGTTCATTAAAATAAAATCTTAACACCAAAAAATATTCTTGCTACCTTATTTTTACAATTCCAACCTCTAGAGAAAGCCATTGTTAGAAACACATTATCTTTTGAGAGGCTTTGCACAGGCAATCATATTTTAAAAAATAAATTTATATGTGGAGCCAGGGAGTATACAGAAATCTCTATGCCTTTCTCTCAATTTTGCTGTGAACCTAAAACCACTCTAAAAAAAATAAAGTCTTAAAAAATAAAATGAATATATATGTATTTTAACTTTTATTAATGCATAAGGTGCTTCATCCATCCACACTTTTTTACAAATTGCCTTTTTTATTCTTTGTTAGAGTTATATCTTGAGCAGCTTTCAGATTAGTATATAAAGTATTAGTATATAAGCTTTCACATTAGTATATAAAGATCTACCAAGTTCTTCTGGATTTCTCTCCTATAAATCAAATGATTATTTAGCGAGTTACCTATCAATAGATATTTAGGCCATTTCCAGTTTTCCATTATTAAAAGTAATTCCACCTTCAACAGCTTTGTAGATGTACTTTCGGCCAATTGCACGAGTATGTACACAGAATAAATATCTGAATATGGAATTGCTTTATTAAAGCATATGGGCACATAAAATTCTGTATGTTACCAAATTCCTTTAAAAAGGCTTTGTCAATTCACGTTTCTTGCTAATTTATATGAGCATGCCACTACTACAGGCATATTTTATATATTTCTTTTTATAATTATAAAGCCACTGTCTTTCCACATTTTTTGGTATAACAGTTAAGAGTTTAGATGGAAAATATAAATTTAGTTGAAAAAATACATTGACAATTGTTTCTTCATATTCTCTTTAAAAATTTCTTCAATGTTGGTTACCTTGGTAAGATAGCATTTTTCTATAATTTATCTCTACATCAACCATTAGATCTTCTTGGTTATTGGAATTTTCAGAGAGTCTCAGATCTCATTCCTTTCCCTAAACTTTGTCATTGTTAAATTTAATGATATATTTCAGTTTTTATTGGAATATCAATATTAATTATTAGAATTTTAAATTAAAACTGTCTATGCCATATTCCTTTGACATTTAAACAAGGCTTCTCTGAGGAGCCATTCAATAAATCAGGATTCACATTTAAAGTTCAGAAAATGTAACTGAACATACTCTAATGTGACAAAACCTAAAATTCCAGTAAGCAGGCAGCCAGTTAGCTCAGTTGGTTAAAAACGTGGTGCTAAAATTCCAGATAAAACAAATTCTACAGTTTATAATTACCTTTACTTTAAAATCTATTAATTGGCAGAGAAGCATTTAAAAAAATCTATAGAAAATAATATACAAAGCAATAAATATTTTGTTTGAGGTAATGTTTTTATTTTCAGTTTTTCTGCTTGTATTACATATACACAAAAATGACAGAGCTTGTTAAATGAAGTTCATTGAGTGCATAGATGGTGTCTTATCACTTTTTATTATCCTGTGATATATCTAATCTTCATGTCTTATATGAGCTACAAATAAAAATGAAAACAAGATAATTTTATACCAATGGCTAATTTTTATTTGGCAAGAATGATTTTTAAAAGTGATATGGACTTTATTTACCTTAAAGCCTTTTTGCAGAATTCACATTGCTACTGCTTTGCAAAGGTGAATGAAAATAGATGTATTTTTCATTGACAGATGTGAAAAACTAGGACACAAAGAGTGAAGGTGACTTGCTAGAGCATTAAAGCACAGGAGCCAGCAAGCAGTCTCTTGGCTCCTGGTCTGTGGCATATTCATTAGATTGCTATATTATATTCATCATCATATACCTTCATTTCACCTCTTAGACACGAATGAGCTGTAATATACCAGAAAGTAGATTGCCTCTTATAAATGTTGCTATGTTGCCATGAATCTTTACCACTTAATTTACTGTTCAAGCAATTTCTCTGCTCGTTTGTAGTAAAATGGCTCTTAAGTTACTTCTACTATTTCTGATTTGATCAATAAAATGTGGATTTATTTAATATATACTTAATAAAATTGGACATTTTGGGGTATATGCTTAACTAAATTTAAGTCCAAAGTTACTTTATTTGCATACATAATATTCACCTACTTTAATAACTATCTTAATTCATCTACCTTAATAACTATCATTTTGTATTTAGGTTATACCAGTCATACCTTTTTTTATGAGTAATCTTCCAAGAATGAGCTAAAATTAAATTATGAAACCAGGAGTCAGCCCCTTCTCACATGCCCTCTTTAGTGTGGTCAGAGACCTTTACTTCTAATTTGTAGTAATGTTGACCTTCAGTTTGAAAGCTCTTTGGCAATGATAGCTATTGCCCAAAATATAGTTAATATTTACACATTTTGATTCTTACTGACTTATTTTTTGATCTCACATTTTGAGATTTTACAAAATTAATATAATAGAAAGTACATTGACATCACGATTATACTATGGATAACCAGTTACTTTTAAGTGCTATGTATAAAGCCAGAAAATGTAAGAAAGTACAATCTGAAAATGTAAGCACTTTTATGTTTGGGATTATATAAGCTTTGAAACAAAGGGCTAAAAGTCATACTCATTGATACCTTCATAACAAGTTATTAATATTAATTCTGTGGTTTTTAAATATAGGAAAAATTATTTGAATCAGAGAAGCAAAGGAAACAATTGACAGAAGAGCTCCAGAATGTGAAACAAGTAAGTGTATGATCATATATTTGTGTGTTCTTTTGTGTGTGCGTAAACATGTGATGTATATCATAAAGCAATGATGTTTTATTATATCCCAGAGCTTACTGATACGAAAATATAGAATAATATAGATCTTAAACAACCCCATCAATAAATGGGCAAAGGACATGAACAGAAACTTTTCAAAAGAAGACAGAATAATGGCCGGCAAACATATAAAACAGTGCTCAACATCTCTAATCATTAGGCAAATACAAATCAAAAGTGCAATGAGATTATCACCTAAATCCAATGAGAATGGCCTTTATCAAAAAAGTCCCAAAACAACAAATGCTGGTGTGGATATGGAGAGATTGGAACACTCTTACACTGCTGGCAGGACTGCATATTAGTACAACTCCTGTGGAAAGTATTTGGAGATATCTCAAAGAGCTAAAAATAGAAATACCATTTGATCCAGCAATCCCATTACAGGGCATCTACCCAAAGGAAAAAAAAGGCATTCTATACTAAAAACATCTGCACTCGAATGTTTATGGCAGTACAATTCACAAGTGCAAAGATGTGGAAACAACACAAGTACTGGATTAATAAAATGTGGTATATGTATACCATGGAATACTACTCAACTACAAAAACAGTGGTGCACTAGCACCTTTTATATTATCCCAGATAGAGCTTGAGCCCATCCGTGGAAGTGAGGTATCACACAAATGGAAAAACAAGCACCACATGTACTTGCCATCAAATTGGTACTAACTGATCAACACTAAGGTGCTAATGTGATAGTAATATTCACTGGGTGCTGGTCAGGTGGAGGGGGTTGGTAAACTCACAACTAATCGATGCGGAGCACACTGTATGGGGGATGGGCATGCTTGTAGCCCTGGCTTGGGTGAGGCAAAGGTATTATATGTAACCAAAATGTTTGTACCCCCATAATATTCTGAAATAAAAAAGAAGAGTATCTTAAAACTTAATGTTTTATTTATCACATAAAATAATGAAGAGATAATCAGACTAATAGTGTTTTATTATTATTATTAAATATTTGAATCAGCTTTATTGGGTTGTAATTTACCTATAATAAAATGTACCTTATTTTAAATATTAAAAAAAAAAAGCAATCACTTTTGGAGGCGTACCTGTGCTGAAGTCTTGCTACTACTGCTCAAAAAAATGTTAAAACTCTATCTCAAATTGTTTTCAAAACCAAATATTCATAGACTAAAATGACCAATCTCATTGCTTTTCTATTTTTTTTTAATTTTCCCTTTTCCCCCCTTTTCTTGTCTTTTGTTACTCATACCTCATTTTATTCATGGCCAAAAAAAAAAAAAAACAAGCAAAAAAAATCTTCCAGGCAGAGCATTTTTTACATTTATTTTCACTCTGCATCATTCTTCAAATAATTTGAGGTAGCTTACAACAAAACAAATACATGGCAATATCATGGAACAAAAAAACAACAAATAAAATCTAAATAAGAGAACACAGTTAGAGATCAATGGCAATCACCTGATTTTTACTTTCTCTCTCACCATCCCCCTAGAAAACATAAAATCAACAGAGAGCATATAGAATGATACAGGACCCACATTTTCAGTAAGACTGCGTGACAGAGAGCACCACAACCTTCAAAGCACATATAAATAGAGTACAAAAAAAAAATTCTATCAAAACTCCTGTAGCTCAGCCTGCCAGTGACACCTGGGAGACAAAGAACAGAGGAGTGAAGGCTTTAAAGACTCTGAAAAAGGGTAGAGAGAAACAGATGAATTAGTTGAAGTAGAAACAGAATCACCTCCAGAAAGAGATAGTATAACAATAAATGCCAAAATACTGAACATAGGTTAGGATGTGGTGGTTCTCAGCACTGGCTAAAGGAAAAGGACTTCAAGGTGTGTGCAACCAGAGGTAACAGCCTTGGAGAATCATTGCCCCTGTGCAAGAATCAGAAAGAGAATGGATGGAATTCCTTGGAGACTAGGCAATGATGGGAAGGAAGGAAATAAGAAGGAAAAAGTAAGGATCTTGCAGAAATGAAAGAGACACAAGACATTCCAATTCACCCACTCTTCCCCCATGACCATTAATAACATGATCCATAAAAGAAACTGCACAGAAGAGAGTAATCTTGACTGAAGAACTTTTTCTATGAAATAAAGAATAGGAAAAAAATCCTGTCCCCATCATTATAAAACAATTGCAAAAAATCAGATGATACGAATTAAAGCTTTTCTCTTAATGAAAACTTTCCAAAATAATTGAAACACAAAGCTAAAGAAAATGTAATGCAACACTTCCAACTCAATTAAATATCCTCAAATAAGCTAAGGGGGAAAAAAAAAACACTTCAAATTGGAGATTTAAAAAAATAGAAATTGACCAAAAAACAGGAAAAAATGAAATGGCAGTTGACAAAACTTACAAAAGAAAAGAAGGAAAAGACAAAATTATATTAGAAATAAAAACTAAATTGCAAGGTTCCCAAGGAAGAATATAGTCAAGTGAAAAAGGCATTGAAGAACACAAGAAGAACAACCAGGAAAGTGAAAATGAAATCAAGAAGTAAAAGAGTTTCTTAGGCCGAGTGCGGTGGCTCACGCCTGTAATCCTAGCACTCTGGGAGGCCTAGGCAGGCGGATCGCTCAAGGTCAGGAGTTCGAAAGCAGCGTGAGCAAGAGCGAGACCCCCGTCTCTACTATAAAAATAGAACGAAATTAATTGGCCAACTAATATATAGAAAAAATTAGCCAGGCATGGTGGCTCTTGCCTGTAGTCCCAGCTACTGGGGAGGCTAAGGCAGGAGGATTGCTTGAGCCCAGGAGTTTGAGGTTGCTGTGAGCTAGGCTGACGCCACGGCACTCACTCTAGCCTGGGCAACAGAGTGAGACTCTGTTCTGTCTCAAAAAAAAAAAAAGTTTCTTGAGAAACCAATCAACCAACAACTGAACACACTAATATTTAGAACTCTAATCCAAGAAAACTTTCCAGAATTAAAAAAGACCTGAATCTACTATAAGGTACTGAGGAATCTGAACTCTAGGATATAATCCTAGTAAGAACTATTAGACTTTAAGAATAGAGAAAAATGTACATTATCTCCAACTAAAAGACCAAAACGTACAAAGACGATAGAATTAGACCAGCATCCACTTCTTGAAACAACATACAAAAGTAAGGCAGTGATGGAGCAACATTTTCAAGATATTAAAGGAAAGACAGTGTGTAAACCAAAGAATGTTTTTGCAGCCAAGCTGACTTAAGATATCAAGGGCAATGCCAGGAGTTTGAGGTTGCTGTGAGCTAGGCTGACCCCACGGCACTCTAAGCCTGGGCCAACAGAGTAGTATCTGTCTCAAAAAAAAAAAAAAGGTTCAAGGCCATGGAAAACAGTATGGAATATGCCAGTACTAATGGATCTGCCCAATAATTTTTAAACATTATGCCCAAGGTTAATTATTATAGCATTATTCATAGTTAGAAAATATTGGAAACTACTTAATCTCCACGCATAGGCTATTGATTGAATAAACTATGTATGGAGCATACACGCAATGGAGTAGAGAAATAATAAGGAAGATCTCTATTAAGTAATATGGAGTGATTCCAGGATATATGATCAAGTTAAAAAAAAAAAAGCAAAATGCAAAGAGTATATGTAGTTTGCTACCTTTTATAAGCCAGGGAAATTAAAATATATATCTGTTTATCTTTTTGAAAGAAACCAAAGAAAGGATAAACTACTCAGCAATGAAATTGGTTACCTACAACATAGGTGGACAGGGTGGGTAAGATAAAGGGAGTGACACATCTTTGAAAAACCTTTTATGTAATTTTTACTTTTGAGTGCATGTTATATTCTATTCATTTAAAAATACATGAACAAATAGAAGGGAAATCAACGCTAAAATACAAGCAAACTGAAGTAAATGAATCTAATTGTATTTCAAATGAATACCATAACCATACACAAAAACAAAAGAACAAATTCGTGTAACTTGTAAACCAGTATGTGTGTTCATTGTTTTGTAGATTGAAGTTCAGTTGGAAAGAATTCCAACAAGTCCTAAACCTTTTTAAGTATTTTTTTGTTTCATTTTGTTGTTTAGTGTATAAGCAAAGCAATTCTGAAACAATTTTAGATGCATTATAGGTTGAGCAAATGTGTTCATTGTTTTTGAGAGCAGGATCTTAATGAAAAACAAAAGACAAATAGAATAAATGAAGTCAAGTAAGAGCCCTGTGGGATGGATTTGAATTAGAGGTATCATTGTGAATACATATTTGTTATATATCTGTTGTAAATATGGAATGTATATGTGCACATGTACATATGTATTTTGTGTATATGTTCAGATGCTGTTTGACCTTATGACAGGGGCTACATCCTGATAAACCCAATGTAGTTGAAAATATCATAGTTTAAATGCATTTAATACCATGATAAACCTATTTGTACAGTCAGAGAATCATAAGTCAAACCATTATAAATCAGGGACCATCTGTATTTATGTGTATGTTATGTGTAGTATATGTATACACTACCTAGCTATGTCAGCTTAAAGGCTAAGAACCAGACACCCTGATAGCAATAAGCATAATGCATATCTAGGTGTCCAGATACCCTCCCCACTAAAAGGAACTCAGGCTCCTTGGATTAGGCCTTTCAGGACTGGAGGGTAAATATGAGACAAGCTTGGAATATCTTATCGTAAAGAAAAAGGAATTCTCAAAGTGATGAGTGGAAATTATAAGGAACTAGCTAAGGAGTCTCACTAAGCCAAATCTGGAAGAACTAGTACGCCAAAAATTTATACCAGTAATAACATGTCAACCTTCTAAAATAAATAGTAATTCATGAGTCTATACCACTAGTAAATAGATAAGTATTAATAGGAGAAAGGAGTACTCCCGCTCATAAATGTTGAATACTGACTTATACTGGACTGCAAGAGAGTCTACTAGATTTGAAATCAGCATTTTGCCCATTGCTAATTTTT